AAAATATCGATATTTTATTTATTTTTTCATAACAATTGATAAAAATGTTTATACTTAAATAAGATGAGAATGAATACGGGCTATATAATGTCTAGTTTTGATTGTAATAACCATTAAAGATAATTAAAATTATTTGATATCAAAATAATTAATTGTATTAATATTATTATAATTGTTTTTCTATTTAAATTCCAAAGAAAATGTGTTTAAAAAATTTTGAAAAACAAAACACCATGTTCTAAGAGAAAACTTCGTTATTTTTCTTCTCATACCAATTTGTTTATTCTTATATAAAAATAGAATAAATGAAAAATTAATTAATACTAAACTATATATTTAATGAACTCACAACAGCTAATAAGGGCTAATAATGATTGTAATAAGTATTAATAGTAATTAAAATTATTTAATATCATAATGATTAATTGTATTAATATCATTATAACTGATTTTTTATTTAATGGCCAAAAAAAAAAAGTTATAGCTAACATGTAAAGAAAAAAATTTTAATCATCACGACACATGTTAAATGCTAGAGCCATCATATCTTACTACATCTATGTGTGCATATATATTAAAAAAAACTATAAGTTTTAATTATTTATTTTTTCTTAACTTAAAGAATCTATCTCATATTGTCACATAAGATACATGGTGGGTTTTTTAATCGATAATATCAAGATTAATAACAAGTTAATTAATGTTTAATTAAAAATTATATTAATTATAAAATATCATTATTATCAAACACAAACTCCTCTAACAAAGATAATTCACTAATTACTTATCTATTTGAAATCTACTAACAAAACTATATATGTTACTTATAACTACCCTTTTTTCAGTATTCTATACATATCTACCTTCTTTTTACAAGCTTCCATGCACATAACATTAGTCGTGACTCAAAAGTATAATGCATGGCGAGAAATTTTATAATATACAAAGAGAAATCGAGTGACATGTAAAATAGTTATTTTATAAATTTATTTTAAAGAGAAAAATAGATATGTCGAATTACTTTCGGATCCACTAAAAGTAATAAAAATATTTCCATGTTTGCTTAATTTTTTTTTATTTTTTTCTCTTATTTTTTTTAGTTTTTTGTGTCTATCTCTCTCCTTAAAGTAAGTTTATAAAATAACTACTATACATATTACTTAGTTACTCCTTATGTATTATAAAATTTCTCATCATGTCGACACATTTAATAAACTATAACTTTTGTCTTTTAGGATGAGTGTTGGCTGTTAGGTTTTGAAGCTTTTCACACAACTGTTGCCCAAATGTCAATGACCACACCGATAATTTGAACTTGATTTAGGCTTGCTTCTTTGGCAGTCAGCTGGGACTTGGCTCTCTCAAGTCTCAAGTCTCGCCATTGAAAAGTTTTATACATAGTCTCTAAAAATTCAAGTAGAGTTTTCGCGAAGGAAAAAAAAAAGGGTTGAGAACCTTTGATTCTTTCTCGTGCTTACGTATCCGTATTTGAATTCCTCGTGTGAAGGTTAGCTGTTCAGACAAATGAACTACCTCAATTAATAACCTGATCAACACCTTATTCTCACTAAATAAATAATAATAATAACCTAATATTCATAAAGAAATATTACCCAACTAAATCTAAGTGGCATTGCCAGATTGGAATGAGTAGGGGGCTTCGACTTGACTTAAATGTGGATGCGAGGATAAATGCATATAAAATGACATCGTTAATGATTATGCTGCCTTTGTTACAACGAGCGGGACCAAAAGTATTGCCTAATGCCTGCCAGCCAGGCTCGCCCGTCCTGTCGAAAGAATCGCCCATGATACGTGTTTATATATATATTTAGAACCTACCCTGATCGAGTCTGGCCTACGTGTTGAAAGAATCACACATGATCCGTATATAAATTTATTTAGCACCTACCCAAGTCTGTTAGACTCGTCAAATGAAATGGATTTAATTATTGGACAATGGACTCAATGATAGAGACTCGATATTTTTTTTGTTTCAATTCTTCCATTGCTGGGAAAAATCGAAAATAATCAAGACAGTGAGCAAAGGTTGGTTCAGCAGTGAACCATCTCCTTCATCTCTTCCAAAAATTTGACACCAGAGCTCTTAACTTTTAAGTTTCATTAGCTTATTGACTAATATGCTTTTAGCATCAGTCTCGACACAGGAGCATATTTCTATATGTATGCAAGTCAGTAATTTGGAACAAACTATTTGTTTTTCTTTTTAATATAACGAGAATTAAAAATCAAGTAAGTAGACTCAAGGATGCTTTTCTTTCAAAATGAGTTAGCTAGTAGCAGTAAAACCAACTTATAAGAATTTTAGAATATGAACACTCACTGTGGCAAGATAGCAATTGCACACTACAATTTTTTTTTTTTTTTGGTATTTTCAACAAATGGCGAGGGAAATGAAGATTCAATTATTTTTCTCAATTACTTCTGCCGAAAATAAAACAAAAAACTTAAAATATTTTTAAATATTTTTTTATAAGAATTAAATAGAAAAATTAGTAATCACATTGAAAATGTTTTCTTTCATATATATATATATATATATATATTAACTAGCCGACTGCATACGCCTTGTCGTGATTTACAGTAATTTTTATTTGTTAAGACGTAGAGATTTAATTCGACATACCGATAGATAAAACTTGTGATAAAAAAATAAAATTACACACTACTTGTAATTAAAATGAATAGATGGGAATTTTCAAACAAAAAAATTATACTTAAACAAAATTTATAAAGGCAAAGAGAGGTAGATATGCGTACATAGAATATAGATATAAAATATTAAATAAAATTTATGAAGGAAAAAACAGAGAAAAAGCGAATCTGACAATTAAAAAAAGGCAGTTATAAGTAGAGAATATATATTATTATTAAATAAAATTTATAAAGATTCCAAATAGGTAACTAATTAGTTGTATTGTCTTTATTATAAAAGTTTGTGTTTAATAATAATACTTGTATAATTAATTTTATTTTTTATGAAATACTAATTTTTTATTATTTTTTATATCATCAACTTAAAAACCACTATATATCATTAGTGGCAACACCAAAATAGAGATAAATCTCTAAAAAAAAAATGGTTATCAAATAGCAGAATTAATACATATATAGATTTCTATTGGAAAGCAAAATCTCTCCAAATAATTCCCAAATTTTTTTCTCCGTTTTTAATACTTTTTTCGTCAAAATAAAAGAAAAAAAATATTCCGTCAAGTAAGTTAAATTTCTGCCCATGATTTTTTATTTATAAGGGGTCATTGTGCACAACTTTTATATACCATTTTCTTTGTACGTGAATGACGTCGGCATCTAAATATGTTCATCGGCCCACCCAATTTCAAATTCCTAGCTGGGTATTTGCTTTGAGCTTAAAGACATCTCATTTCCTCAGGCCCATCCATTTCCATTTCCTGGTACAAGTGGAATTGAAATAATCTGCCAAAACCCATCATGCTGACTCCGCGAACAAAAAACTTATCTTTTGCTGAACTCCAGAATTCTTTGGAGTTTAGAAATTAAACGATAACAGGCAGTGTATACTGTTTTTGTTTTTTTTTTTTTTGGGTAGTTGTTTACCCTCCAATCCATCTCGTCTCCTTTCTTTTGTGATTTGTTTATCATTAGTCGGCATAGAAAATAGATCAAAGCATTCTTCAAACCCCAAACAATCCTGCACTTTTATTCATTCCCGTGCTCATCATATATATATATATATATATATATACACGCACACACACACAAGACACTAGAAATATTACATAATCACATTTGGCCCAGGAAAGCTTACACCCAATCTCAGATCGAACTTAATTTTAGGCCCATATAGCTCAATACAACTAGATTACATCCAGCTTAGGGACATTTTAGCCGAGCTCAATGGATTGGAATAGAATTAGTTTCTAACACCTCACACAAGCTTTCAAACAAGGAGCCCTCTTTAGCCTGCGTAACCAACTTAGAGGAAAGGAGATAACATGTGGGCTCTGTTTCTGTTTATTTGATGAAAAATAACTTTCATATAAAAATTAATTTTTGAGAAATTATTTTTTAAAAAATTATTTTTTATCATTTGATAATTATACGAAAAAACTGTTGAAAAATATATTCTATTGTTTGTTTTTCTTTTTCAAGAAAAATGTTTTTCTTTTTTTAAATTAGAAAAATATCTTTTCAAAAATATTTTATTATTTTTTATTGATTTTTTTCTTAAACACGAAACAAACACTGAAAAAGGATAAAAACCAGTGGGAACTTGTTTTCTCCCAATCAAACAGCCTTGAAAGAATCTCAAATTTGAACCTCAAACATTTGTGAAGATCAGAGAAAGAAATATGAGGCACACAGATTAGTCTTCAACACCTGAAGTTGACCTTGCTAATCACACTGTGCTAAGATCCCAATGTTTTCCTTCTTTCTTTTCTTTTGCGGGGAGCCGGGGGCGGGCTGGTTTGTGAGCCAAATTATCAGAAATGGGCTGTTCAAGGACGACAACAATATGAATCTCAATATTGGGTGCTGCGCTTGACTTGGATTACGGCACATGATGGTTTCATGGATATATATAGTTCTGAAACTGGATAATGGAATGAATCTCTTTTGTCTGGTAAAAATCACAGCCGTTTAGCAAGCAATGTTGTTGCACGTGATGGAAAGTTGTATTCGCACACCCGCACCAATGTTGTCTCTTATGATCCCTTTAATCATGGTCAAACCATTTTCTTTGATGCACCTGAATTTAAGCCATGGCACCGCCTAGTATTAGTGTATATCTTGGGGTATGCCAGGGCTCTTTGCGACTTGTGCAGTTGGCAACTTATATCACTATACCTGCTGCCAATCATTTGATTGTGTGGGAGCTTGAGTATGAACTACAACATACAAGATTTTCGTCAACTACATGATCTCCGAGGAGCCTTTGGTTCCAAAATTTTTAGGCCCTAATAGGCGCAGTCCGCTGGTAATAGCTTTCCACCCAGATGAAGAAGGATGTGGTGTACTTGGGCTCGTGGGACGTCATCCTCTCATGCAAGATCCAAAGCAAGGAGTTGGATTTCGTTGGTATCCTTCTGCATGAAGATGTCCGTCAGACTGGTCGAGTAGTCTTCCCAATCTCAGCCCCTTGGTGGCCTACACCAGTTTTGACGTGCCCACAAAATGGTCATCCCTAGTGATGCAATAATAATTTGAGTTTATGTAGTCTCTCTTTTCCCTTTAGCAGCAGGTGCATACGATCCATTTCTGTCTTACGACCGGAGGCTACTCTTATATTTTATGTCTGATTTCCTGCATAATTCTTCTTATATATACTTTTATGTGCCATGCTAAGAGTTTCTCTTACACAGCCTTTCCAGATTACCTTTTTGGTTTATTTGGACTGTTCTTGTAGCAGAAACAGGGGACTGATTCATGAGCAACGAACTGTTATACTCTTTATTACTAATGAGTTTTAAAGCTAGCTCCTATATATGTTAGGATAGAAAATAATTGCTATTCTTTTACTAGGTACTAAGACCTTTGTTCCCCATATTCATTTTGTGTTCTAATTTTACCATCTATTATGACAGCAATGTCGATAGCAGTCAAGCAACTGTCAAAATCAAGAAGCTATTTTTTTGGCATAGTAATTTACTTTCTTACGAACTTGCTGTTAGAAACAAACAATTGAATTGAAGGATGAAACTCATTCACTCTCCATTCTATTTCTAGGTAAACCACTTTCCTTTCTTTTACCTCTCTTTTTTCTTCGTTGAAACCAGGCTATCTTTGTTGAGTGATATGATGGTTTGGAAAGATTCGCCATGGGTAGCTGATAAGGAAGTCTGTTAAGGTTAGCATAGGGGTTTTGAGACTTTTTGAGTGTTTTTATGATAGGGGGCACTAGATGTATACCTACTTGCCTCTGCTCTTTTGGAAAAGGTATCTTCACCACATACTCAACTCATCATCAATCTGTATTACATATCTCTATCATCTCATCACTGTTTCTCAAATTCTAGTTTTTATTTTTAGATTGTTTACTTGGTTAGTATTTCAATTATTTGAAACGATTTTTATTAACTTTTAATTAATAGTACTGAAAAGACAATTGGTAACCTTCGATTTCGCATGTGTATAAAACACAAAACTATTGAGCACCTCTAAATCTGCAAAAATTGGTTTTACTTTACAACTTTATAACCTTGATGGTGTAGTCATGGCCTTCATTGTCGTTGCTCTTCAAGCCTGTAACTCCATTTCTCTCACATTTGTAATTGTTCTCTGTTTCTGTTGCATCCAACTCTTGATGAGATCACTATTGGCAGGTTGGAGGGTGCATGGGGGACTTGGTGAAGGGAAGGCAGTAGCTCTTTCAAGGAACTGCTTTTGTTTCTCATCTGCAAAGCAAGTTAGGGAATCTACACACACTTCAAGAGCAGAAGATGGTGGGACAGGCTTGAAGTCCTGCAGCTTGGAGTACTCTGATATGAGGTGGAACATATAATCATAAACTCGCTCCATACTTGAGCTTTCCATAAAATCCTGTCCTGCTTTTCCTATTTTCTGTGCCTGTCAGTGTTATTGAAGAAAGCTGTGAATTCTTCTTAAATTAACTAGGAAAATGTCATTGTTCATGCAAAACCATTAAGAGCAATCTTGTTTTTTTGCCAGCAAAAATGGCAATTTGGTTAAACAAGACAACTGCTTCTTGTCCCAGAATTGTAGTTATAGACAACAGTTATACCAAAAAATTAATAAAGAAACTAAGCATAACCCACTGTTACTACAATTAGTGAACTCAAAAAACCTGATCCAAGGGAGTAATTAAACCCAAATATGACAGTACTGATTATTTTTGAGAAAGTGTGCTGAATGAAAGGAAAAATGCAAAAGGTAAGTTGAAGTTGAACTATACCTCGGAAGGGTTTGTGTTACCCCAGTCGACAGCAAACTTTAAGGATCGGCATAACCCATCAGGAGAAACAGGCCAATAGTTTTTCTTAGGAATGAGGCCACGACTGAAGAAATCTTCATACTGCGGGGAAATTATTAGTGCAAGGGAACCGCATGATATAATATATTTCAAGCTCACAGACCAAGCAAAGCCCTCGGCATAGATTTTGTACCTGAATAGAGAGGAAGACGAGTAAAAAACACAGAAAATGATCAGCTGAAAGATGAGTGTAGTTACCTAGTCAAATGAAAAGAGTTCGATGTGATACATAGAACTTAGAGATAGTACTACACCTTAAAAGCTATACAGAGAATGCAACTCCTCTTGAGCCCCAACAAAGGCCATTTTATGTTTATTAATAACTTAAGGGTTTGCAGGCCTAACTGGTTTGGTTTGACGAAGCCTATTCCATTTTAAAAGAAATGCAATTTACAAATGGACAGAACGACCCAGTTAACTTGGACAAGGTGCATTCAAGAGTCATCATTTGAAAATGCAATTTAGTTTTTGTGTGTGTCCAAAATGCTCTTGAAGCATTTATTTAGATCGTGCATCTTTAAGGAAAATTATGCATTACAGCATATCAGATAAAGAATATTTCTTTACTCACCGATAATCACACTGATTCGATAGTTTCGATTTCTCATAACCGGTTTTTGCTTCTTCCTCCCAATCCTGGGATCCAACAGAGAAACAACATCAAAGACATAATTCATTTTTAAAAGTACACATTTACATCCATAACAAGTTAAACAATTTCAGACCATAAACCAAATCAGACCTGTTGCATAATCTGCGCCCCCCACTTCCTAGTGTGATTGCATTCCTTTAGCTCAGTACGAATAGGAGAACCAACATCTGTGTTCCCTTTCCAGTATGCTAGAGGCCATTTCTTTGACCAGCTTCGAGCTTGGGAACCTCGTTTAATGTCTCGAAACTCCTCATTCCATGGTCGTATATTTACCTCTGGCCTGAACCAGATTCATTTATCATTCAGATAACAGATTACACAATTAATAAAAAGGACTCCAAGATGAACCAAAAGATGGCTTTAATTTAAAAAGAAACTTACCAGCCCCAGAAAGACCAATCAGGAAATGGAATATCAAAGTGATCCTCAGTAGTGCAATACCGAAAGAGTGGCAAAGGGAAGGAGTCATGTTCAGTCTTATTAATACTAGGTTTATCCATGCAATCAAACATAATATCGACATCAGGTACCATCCCAGGATACCTTTTTAACAATTGTAAAAAACCCCATATTGTAAACATCATTCGACTTTGAACACATGCATAATAAGGATCCAGATACAATCTCCCCTCATAAATAACAACACGAAAAGACGCATAACGTTTGGCCCCCATTATGTGATCTGTCGTTATCCGTGATTGAGCCCATGGCTCCAGATCATGGTGAATAAACATGAAAAAATCTGGGCATTTGGGGCTCGATTGAGAGAACTCGAACCAGTGACCTTTCGGAATGGTGGTGTTGGAATAAGGGCATGTTAGGTATGAACAATGTAGGATTTGGTAAGCTCGAGCGTGACGGGATTGATCGTCGAAGTTCTTGGGAGGAAACAAATGCCACGGAGTCGGTGGTAAGTTGTGACCCGCTACCGTTTTTGTTTGTAAAGCCAAATTGTCTACCTGCTTGGATGAAATGAACAAACAAATAATCAAGAACAGAATTATGAACCAGTTCAAAATTCGAATGTTCTTTTTTAATCTTACCTTGTAAAGGAAAAATACGGTGAGGGAGGCTAAGGCAATGATCCAAAGGAGGGGAGAGGAGGATAAGCGAGCCGGAGCTTTGCTTCTTGAAGGAGGAGCAGCCATTACGGAAAAAGATTTGTAGTTGTTGGAGTAGTGGTAGTGGACCTGATGTTGTTTTTTGATAATTGCTTGTTTCCTTGCATCATTGCATTTGCTGATGCTCCGTTTTTGGGTTTTGTCTGTTTCTTTATTTCGAAAGAAACTCTGGTAATGGTAAATGCTGATGTGGTTGCGTTCGTGTCCCGCTTTTTCTCTCTTGAATGATTCTTTTGTTGTTTATCGTTCGCGTGGCTGGAGATCACGAGGCTTGGAGACAGAGGAAGATTGCGATGGAACAAGAGAAAAAAGGCCAAGTGGCCAATGCCAGTAAAGCAGAAATGGTGGAGTTTATTTTTGGTAGATATTGGAATTCTACCGCAGATGCAATTCTAGTTTCTACTAGCACATTATCCTCTCACCGCGGCTGGTAAATGTATTATATACAGTGTTTTAATATTTTAAATAACTCAAAACTATTGATGTAAAATAAAAATTAATTAACATTAATGGTAGAAATTGGTTTAATTTAGTATGTATTATGTAATATTTGTGTGTGCTCTAAAATTGAGTTTAAATATATTCTAGGAATATTTTTTATTTTGATAAAAAAAAACATGCAATTAATTATTTATTAAAAAAATAGAAGAAGGTGCTTAATCAATTTATGTTAGAATAATGTTTGATTTTAGTTAATGGGTCTTTAAAAAATAAATTAAAAAAACCATTAATTATGAAAAAAAAATTATTTTAAGTAAATAATAAAAAAATAAAAGCATAAAAAAGGGTTGGGCTAGGCTGGAAGCCCAACCCATCCAAAAAATACAGAGACTTTTGTAACGATAATTAAAGTTAAGGACTGTTTTATATCAAATATTAACTTGAAGAACCAAAGTGTAAAACATTGAATAAATTAATCAAAAATCACTTATTTTTATTTATAAGAAAATGACACGGCCATTTCGGTTTCGCTCTAGTTGGACTTAGCTACAGTGAAATCCTATCTAATTTTAGTATATTTATTGATTAATATATGAAAATTTAAATTTCAAAACGATAATAGCAAAATTGAGTTTACCTGAAATGTTTTGAAGATTCCAAATAAAGGATGCTAATTTAATTTATAACATTTTAGTCTCAACTATAAACAATCAGGATTCGTGGGTTGATGTGAGAGTAAATTATAAATTAGTCCCTCTCGTCTCAAGAAACAAATTAATTAATCCCATTAGTTTCAAAATTTAATCATTTAGTTCTTTTTGCTATTTTTTTTAATTTATTTTGATTTTTATTTTAAGAAATAGAAAATAAAAAATAAGTAAAAATTATTGAAAGGTCGATGAGAAAATATATTTTATAAAATAAAAAATATTAAATTAATCATGATCAACACTGATTAAAAAAGATTAAATAATTAAGTTTTGAAACAAGAACACTAATTAATTCATTTTGCAAAAAGAGAGGGATATATATATTTCAATATATTTAACGTTTCTGGTTTCTGGAAACTCACTCGTTGCATCTAAAAGTATGCAAAATAATTGAGGTTTGGAAGGGGTCTCGGTTAAGCCATTGGAGAGGTCGCATTTTGTCTCATAATCAATGCATAACCTTCCAACACTAGTTACAGGATAATCTTATTATCAAATCATCATTATTTCCAACATTTTTTTAATACACAATCCATATGGAACTCTCTTTTTACAAAAGCTGTGCAAATTGAACCCACAAAATATATATACAAAAGGAAGGTATTTAGTGGATCGTTGAAGTTTACATTGACATAGGTTCTGCAAAGTAATGCTCACATTAACTTCTTTGCTTTGCTTTGCTTTGTTGTTGTTGTTGTTGTTGTTGGTACCGATGCTTGAACCATGGTGTAGCGGCAGGGAACGAGAAAAACACCGAACCACCAGAACCAGGATTGGTTGCTCACATTAACTTCTCAAACTGTAAATATCTTTCTCACTTTCTTCATATTTCTACGACATATGGGGCAAGTGCCAGCTTCTTCAGCTATCCTGCTGTGTGGAAAATGGACTTGGTGTCATATTCCTCTTATTCCAAAGAAATTGCATTTAAATTATGTGTTATTAGGATACTTCAGGTTTTTTTTCTGCTCTCTTCTCTTCCTAGTACAGGAATGTTTGAAGTAATGATAGTAGAACTTAAATGAAGGTCATCTATTCTTGATTCCTAGCACCAACAAGTGAGGCAGTTTGTATGTACCTTGTTCCACAGGTAAAACAGGCAGCACAATGCCCACAAGGAAGAAAGAAGCACTCCCTTGGGGCATCAAAGCAAATAACGCAGAGACGGCGGAGATCTTCTCCTTCTGCCAGTGATTTCCCTTCAAGACAATTAACTGCAAGCCACTTTTCCAGATCCTCCGCTTCATGTGAGCTGGAATCATGAGATGAATCCCAGCTTGAGCTATCATCACCTTTTTGAGAAAGCAATGGGGTTCGTTCGGATTCTATTTCTCCTGCTTGATATCTATCTCTACCGAAAGGTCGAAAAATATGACACAATCTCAAGGCTAACAAGAGTAGGACAGTCATTACACCTGCGTACAGGGTGCCAGCTGATGTAAATATGGGAATTTTCTGTCAGCTGAATAGATATGATACGCATGGAAATTAAAGTAACCTGATCCAACAATATATATGATCCATCTCGGTCCATAAGACAATTTGACATACCAGTCTTCATTTGAAGCACCCTGAAAGAACAGTAGGTTGCTATTCATCAATAGAAACTAACTTTATGATCCATATATTGCTGCATTGGTATAGAGCAATGGAAGAAGTGATCGTCCATATATGGAACATACATAAGGAATGAAAGTACAGGTTATGGAAACACTAATGACAATAATTCAGGTTCAGCGATCCTGGATCACATGGTTTCCACCAAATGCTAGAAAGGCAGGCAAAACTGCAAACATCCGTACTCCATCCATGGTCTATAGGGGATCTACTGATAATATAATATTTAGCTTAACAAAAACCAATTTGATTACATAAGAATATTTGAAGCACAAAAAAATAAAAAATAAAACAGGATTAGCCTTGTACCTCTGCAGGGCCTGGAGACGTAAGGACAGCAGCAGTTGTCCCTAAAAAAAACAGCTGTAAAATGCATAAATGGTTACCGAGAGAACACCTGTAATAGGCCTGATTTGTGTCATAGATTAAAGATTTCACAATGAACTTCAGCTCCACCTGTGTATAATGCAGAACCACTGGATATAAATCATCTGATGTTATTCAACAAATTCTTCAGCTATAAAATGTTGTTGGACATCTCAACATATCTATAAGAAGTAAATTGTTATTTTAGCCAAAAAAACAAAAAGAAAAGAAGCGAAAGACCCCGCAGATTATTGGGAAAATGCTAGGTGTGGGCAAAAAAAAAAAAAAAAAATGAACTTCCCTTTCCGAGCTGATTTCACAAGCACTATTCATAAAATCCATGTACACAAATCTACTTTGAACAAAAAGGACTTCCAAAATTAGTCCAGATAGCGAATACCTAGTAGGACTTCTCATTTCCAGTACGTCTAGCAGCATCATAATCAATCATGATCTTAAGATCTTAAAATGTAGCAAAAATTATATAAACCAATACCTCCACTTCCTCAGAGTTCAAATTTCCCACAGCGATATAATAAGTAGAAGATGTTGGAATTTCCTGTTGGATGTTACCACTTCCTGTAAAGAAATAATATCAGAACCACCTAATTCATGGCAAGAAAATTTTTTGTTGAAAAGAGAAACACAATCTTGAATACCATATATAATATTCCAAGACAAAGTTGTATTGGGGTATGATGGATCATCTATCCACTCAACAAGGCTCTCTGTACCTGCAGTTTTAGACAACTATAAGAAATAATAGATAAATTAACTAATGTGATATGTTTCCAATGTTTAGTTGTGCATATATATATATATATAAGTCTATTGAAAAACTACACTTAAAAGCAGTAAACAGAAAATGTTGATGATAGACCTGTGATTCTAAGCAAGAAGACAATGGAACTCGTACTACTGTTGGCATGTTATATGACACTAGGAAAAAAAAAAGTTTAAAGTGATTTTGATGCCTAAGATTAGGGGATATGTGGTGTGAAAAGTAGGGGAGACAGTGACACAGATCACATAGTACAGTGAGAACACTACAGAATAAGACCTGATATTCATCTCAGTCCCTAATACAGAAACCAAAATGATTGAATTATCTATCAATACACATTTACTCAAAATTTTACTAATAACTAGCAAAATTCTGCTATTCACTCACTTCCATAAATATCAGATATCAATGTGTAGTGATGGTTCGTAATAAACCAAAGCAAACAATAAGCTATTCCAAAAAGATGGTTCCAGGTCTCCCAGACACAATTGAAGAGTTTGCAAACTCCAAAAAGGATTTGCCACTCATAATAAAGCAGGAAACCATTCACAAAGCATTTCATTTTCAATTTTGAAGAACAGAGAAAAAATATATATTGACCACCAGATTCTCTGGCTATAGGAAGCAGGAAAAAGACCTTGGGCAATCACAAGGGACAAAGGAGAGGCACTGAGGGATTTAACACTGTAAGAGATATCCACTTTAGACCCTTTGTTCAGAAAGAGTACCCATTCCTGCTGATAAAAATTCATAGTTAGTGATGTATAGTTTAAAATAGTTACAATTAGTTAGCACACAAGAGCCATGCGGATAAACAATTCACACAAAAGTCTTATAAAAGAAAGATAGTAAAAGGGAAAGATTTGCCTTGTGAAAATCCATTGGAACAAATGCATTATGTTTTTGAGTCCAAATGATTTCAACATCCAAGGGTGGAGGCTTGTAGAATCCATATAATATTGGTCCAGGTTTTGGCTCACCTAGCTCCTCTGCCTGTTCTACAAGTCAAATGAGATTGGCACTACCAAAGACAGCAGCAGTAGAATGAAACAAAAACCGGAAAAAAAGGAAAAGGAAAAAAAAATCACCTTAAGAGACTGAATAAGAAATGGGCTAGGCTCTACAAGGCGAGAGCAATTCGGCCCGAGTTCCACGTTCTTAGATCCGTAGTATCCAAGAATCATAGTAAAGGAAGCTGGTGATCATGATGAAAGAATATAACATGATCACCACAGAATCAACAACAGTACATACCAAAGCAATTCACATTAATAATTAAATCCTTGCTCAAAATTAATCATTGGTATTTAACAACTCAGATAAGAAAGAGACTAAACATGAAGAAGCAATTTAGAAAGAGAAGAAACTGACCAAATAACCAAAAAGCAACGAGACCAGCAAGGCATGACCAAATATCATCTCTCAATATAGATAAATTTAAACGATAAGATGCACCAGAAGAAAGATTCCCATCTTCTTGTTCTTGGTTGTGGTGATGTCCACCAGGAATATTACCCTCAATATTTCCTGCAGTCTCGTCGTTCTCTTCTTGATTTTCTTCAATGACGAGATGAGAAGTAGAAACTAAAGACGTAGAGGAAGCATCAAAGGAAGTTGATGCTAAAGAAGATGTAACTGCAGGAACATGCCGATGATGCTGTGCATTATGGTTTGATTCTTCCATTGACCTGTGACAAATTAATTCAAAGAGTACTCGAAACGTGATAGCATACACTATAGAGAATCCACTAAAAATTGGACAACGAAATAGATAATTCTGGGGTTTGGTTTTGTTCTTTAGCACAAACCTGGAGGGAGAAATTGGTAGGACGGCCGAGTCATCGTAGATGTAGGAGCGACGGTTGGTTTGGGAGAATCCACTTCAGTACAGTCTCACCTAGCAGTCTTCTCTTCTTCCCCTCGAGAATGGTAGGTTTTCTTGTTTGAAAGGTGAGATTTGAACGAGTAAATTATAAATTAGTCCCTTTATGTTTTTATAAACTAATTAATTACTTATTTGTTTTAAAATTATTTATTTAATTACTATCATGATTAATTTAATATTATTTTATTTTTTAAAATGTTATTTTTAAATTTTTTTCTTTATTAATATATTTTTTAAATAAAAAATAACAAAATTATAAATTATAAAAAAATTAAAAATATAAATAATTAGTTTTTGAAAAAACAAAAAAGCTAATTAATTCTTCAAAACTAGAGACTAATTTATAATTTATTCAATTTGAACTCAGAAAGCTCATGATGGCGAGCGGAATTTAACTCGAGAATCAGTTAATGATTATATCAAGTTACCAGTGACAATGGTTGAATTTGCTTACTTGTCACAGTAAACAAATGCCACGTAATTTAGTATGTGTTTAGTGTTGCGCTGCTTTTGTAGTTGTGGTGTGAAAAAACAAAAATCTAAAAAAAAAAGGTACTTTTAAGAGAGAAAATGAATTTGGAAAAGCGTATGCGTGGTTGAATACAAACTGTTTCGAAAACATTTAGGAAACGGCACACAAGGACATGTCTTGAAAAAAAACTATTCCTTGATTGGAAAAGGGTAGTAGTTGTAATTAAGACCCGGCCTAAACATGATTAGGACTAGGCTTCAGATCACCAGACAATTTAACGGGTCAGTGGATTGATTTAATAGATCCATCATATATATATATATATATATATCAAAAGGATGCTCATGGTGAGTTGATGATTTTTTTGTAACACGAAAGGTGCTAGGATTCAACATCCATCTCCAACATAATTGATGGTTTTTTTTTTTCTGTAGATAAAATATATACGTGTTGTATAACAAATTCATTTGTAGCAAGTTGGTAGGGTCTTTTTTGGTATTGACAAGAACATGGTATGAGTTATGGCATAAGATTTTTTATTTTCAAGATTTTGTCGAGTTCAACTTTAAACCAAATTCAAGTTAAACCCTAAGTGATTGAGTCTTCACATTAATCTATGTTAGAGAATAATATAAATCATATCCCGACAACTTAGCTAACAACTTAAACTTTTGGATGAGATGATCATTTGACATGATATCAAAGCTCGGTCATCAACCCCTCCCCTATTTCACAATGGAAGAATCGAAGGAGGAGACCTTCAACAAAGGAGCATTAGTTCCAGCCAACTCTACGGACCCCACAAATAACCCTTATAGCAGACCTCTCTATTTGCATCATGCGATAGCACTAACATTATGCTTATAAACCAAGTTCTCAAAGGATCAGAAAATTATGATCCATGACGGAGATCCATGATGATTGTACTCTTTACTAAGAATAAACTTGGATTCGTGATTGAAATCTATAAAAGGCCAACGGAAAGTCCAAAGTTAGCAAATCAGTAGGCTAGATGCAACTATATGGTGCTAGCATGGCTTATCAACACCATGAGAAATGATCTTTCGGATGAAGTCATATATGCGAAACGATAATATAGATTTGAATAACATGTATTCCGATAACAATGGATCATGAATTTTTTCAATCCAAAGAGAGATATGCTCTCTTAATCAATGAACTTTTTCGATATCCGGTTATTATATAAACTAAAAAGATTGTGGGATGAATTAAATTCACTTACTATTTTTCCAACATGTAATTGTAACATTGTCAAGTGCAGCTATGAGGCATCAAAGGCCCTTGAAAAATACTAACAAGAGCATAAGATCATGCAATTACTCATGGGCCTCAATGACACATATTCGACAATTAGAATTCAAATTCCGTTAATGCAACCATTACCCTCCCTAATACGGAGTTTACAATATGTTAATTCGGGATGAGAAACAAAGGCGGATCATCCCGTCCCACGTTATTAAAAGTTCAACCCTCTTGTCTAATTATACTCAAGGTAATGTGAAAGGTTGGAACAGAACCAATAATCGAAGAAAGTGAGATGTGAAAATTGGAACATACTTGGACATACAAAGAAAGAATGCTATAGGTTGGTGGGTAGCAAAATTCTAGCAATTCATCCAAAGCTCCAAGCTACTCTTCAAATTTAGCAACCATTAGTATTAGAGCCGTAATGACCAAACGGTCATGAGTTCAAATCTTACCAACTCCTACGTTCTTTTTTAATTAATTAAGCACAAGTTAGTGTGAACTTGTGCAAGTTTTAAAGTCAAAAGGTTTCACTTGAGGAGGTATGTTAGAGAATAATATAAATCATATCTTGATGCCTTACCTAGCAGTTTAAGCTTTTGGATGAGATGATCATTTGACAACTTGCCAAACACATCCGAATTTGACAAATATAAATAAACCGATAGTTAATGTTTAAAATATTCATTTAGTAGTCACAATGATTTAAGAATAAAAAAATAACTCAAAACTCATTAGATTTGAAGTTTAATTAGAAAAAACAAATGATTGATATTTTTTTTATTTGATAATAAAAGTTATTATCTAATCAGCTTATGTTTAATTGAGATTAATTTTTTTCAAAAGGACTTTAAGGACACACCCTCTTTACCGATCTAATACATGAAGAAAAATTTAATATTTTTTTCTAAATACTAGTCTTGAAGTTTGAATTCAATTTTTTTTTTAAAAAATAAAAGAAAAGAAAAAGGAAAGCATTGCTTCTGAACCATAAGAAAATAAAGTATTTTGATTCACCTGATTGGTGTATTGGTGTTGCTATTTAAAGTAAGTTCACGCATCCTTACATTCTAACATTTCCTCCTGTAGATATTTGTATTTCTTTTTATGACAAAATAATGTTCTTCAATTCTGTACATATTTTATTTTTCGTTCAATAATATTTTATTATTATTATTTTTATAAATTAGTACATTTTAGTTATATTTTGCGTAAGAAGTGATAAAAGCTTTGGATTACAATGTTAGGGTATAAGGATATTAGAAATGCTTTTGAAGTTAAGGAGAAATCCTTCCATACGCGACAAATAGATTGAAAATGTTAGGATATAACTATCCATATGTTGAAGAGTAAATCATATATTCGTCTCTTTAGTTTTTCAAATCGGATTAAATAATTTCTATAATTTTAAAAACTAATTAATTAGTTTTTATATTTTTAAATCTATTGTAAGTTAATTATTTTTATTCCTTTTTAATTTATTTTAATTTTTTGTTTTAAAAAATAGAAAAAACAAAGTAAAAAAATTATGGAAAGATTGACAAAAAAAGAGTATATTAATTTTTTTAAAAATAGATTATTTAATTCGTTTTGTAAAATTAGAGAGATTAATCTATAATTTAATTTATATTGAATGTTGATACATCAACATGCTAAATATATTTTGGATATGCTAGAGGTGTTCGCGACAATTGTATTTTCTAATATATATATATATATATCTTAAGATTAATTTCTTCCTGAATATAGTTAAGAAATACTCTTCAACAAAAGATATCGAGTATTTTGAAAATAAATTTTTAATAATACTGATCACAAAGATCAAACTCTAAACCTAACTTGACAAATCAATATTTGCTTATCAGCAAATTACCACATTGCAGATTAAAATATAAATCGAATATAGTTTCGAGTTTAAAAGCTTAAACATTTAATCAAATTAGAATTTAATTCACTATTTTTCTGACTGGTTATGTATAATCATTTATATCTATTTAAAAAATGTTAACTGACACTCCCCACCTTGATAGAAAAAAATAATAAAAAAACATCAGGTTAGCATTTAGCACCAAAAACGTTAATACATCAGGTACTCATGAAGGCCCAGAAAGATAGAAGGAGCCCAAATGTCGCCCGTCTTTTGAATCAGGAAGCGCCCAGGAGAGTCCACGTTTACCAGCCAATAGGGTATAAACAAAATATCCAACTAGCCACGCGGCATAATCTCATTGCTCTATCATCACATATGCTACTTCCTTCCTGTATAAAAATAAAAATCCTCTCTGCAGCTTCTCATTAGCAAAATTCCCCGAAGTAGAGATGGCAAGATCGGGATTGTTGAGTGTTACTCTGCTGTGGACTTTAGTCCTTTTCGGAACTCTGACTCTCATCCAGGTAATCTAATCTCTACCTACTTACTACAATTTTATTGCAAGCTCAGTTATGTTGATTAATGATCTGGATCTGCCAGCTATAATTCTCCATTGATTCTATTAGATTGAGACAAAAAAATTAAAATTAAGATATTCTGTTTTGATTTTCCAGCTTTGTATTGCATTTTCGGTGTTGTTGATTGGCGAATGATTTTTTGGCAATGATCGGTGGAATATTGTGGACATAAAGCTAAAAACATGAGTTGTCTTTTCTTTTTGTTTTCAGGCGAAGAAGTCGAAGGAAGATTCGAGGGAGATTACCCACAAAGTTTACTTTGATGTTGAGATTGATGGAAAACCCGCTGGTATGTTCTTTGCTTGAATTATATTAAAAAAACAATTGGGTCTGTTGTGTGGATTTGATTTTTTCTTTTGCAAATTTAAACCTGTGGTTTCACAGTGTACATTATATTTCAAATTAATTTGCTAGTGCCTGCAAAGCACTCTGGTGTATTACTGTAATAATCTTGTTGAATGAAAATCTTTACATCGGTGACTTGAAGTTGTGGCAGTTGTATTAGGGGGAATAAGTATATAGGTTTAGAAAGATAACTTCCAACTTTATTTTGTATGATATTCCTCTTACAAGTTTGGTCGCATCCACTTCCGTTAGATATTAGTTGCAGTTTGTTTGTAACTTCACTAAAAAAATCCCTGATGAAGTTATAAGATACTCATATGATGGGGAAAAGACATACTTCTTTGGTTATGCATGCTGGAGTATTCTGGTTTTTGAAGAGGCTGTTCGACATTTGTGAGATGATATAGTGTTTGGATATAAGGACTATATAGTTGGCAATAACCAATTTCTTCATTCATTTATGGAATAATTTGAGATCATTGGAGTTATATTATTAATGAGTAATAACTGTTGAACTTTGCAGTGGAAACAATATGTTACTGTAATAATATCTTTTCTTTACATGTTTTGCATTGTTTTGTTCTCAAATATTGGGACTAAAAGATGACATCTATTCACAGGTCGCGTTACCATGGGACTATTTGGCAAGACAGTTCCAAAAACTGCAGGTATAATTTTACATCTGGTGTATTTGGTTTGTTGCTTGTTGTTTTGAGCTTGATTCGTAATGTTATTAATTGGTTGATATTTCCAATTTGCAGAAAATTTCCGCGCACTGTGCACTGGTAAGCTGCTAAACTAAGTATCTCTTTTTATCTATGTTTCTCTCGTAATTAACTATTTCCTGTCTCCATCATGGTTATTACATTTCCAAAGTAATTGCACTTTTTTTTTTTTTTTTTTCTAACAGAACTTATGAGATTTATGCCGTAGTCATTTATGAATTTTAATTTTCTAATTGGTGATGAATATCAGACTGCTGGCATGGAAAGTTGTAATATTCTTGAAAGTCCTTAGAGAGATCAATTAAAGTGACCTTTTGCATTGGACTATCTTTCAGAAGAAATAGAATATGATTTATCTGGATTGTGGTTTCGTTTTCATTGAATGACCCTATAATCTTGTCTGCATGCAATGAACTTGTAAAAGCTAGTTTCGTGCCATACCATTATTATTTTTTTATTGCAGGGGAAAAGGGTATTGGAAAGAGTGGGAAACCTCTTCACTACAAGGGGAGTGCGTTCCACAGGATTATTCCCAGCTTTATGATTCAAGGAGGTGATTTTACACTTGGTGATGGAAGAGGGGGAGAATCAATTTACGGGGAGAAATTTGCTGATGAGAATTTCAAGTTGAAGCATACTGGACCTGGTAGGTGAAATGTTTGTGTAGTTTTGATTAACAGCCTCCTAGTTGCAAGTATGCTAAACATAATCTGTTTCTGTGTAGGGTTATTATCAATGGCAAATGCTGGTCCTGATACAAATGGTTCACAATTCTTCATCACAACAGTGACAACTAGCTGGTAATTACATTTATATGTTTTTAGAGGCAACCTGCAATGCTCTAATCTGGTACTGAATTGTACAAATGAATATCTAAACTATGTACACAGGTTGGATGGCCGACATGTTGTGTTTGGTAAGGTCATATCGGGAATGGATGTGGTTTACAAGATTGAAGCTGAAGGTAAGCAAAGTGGCACACCCAAGAGCAAGGTGGTGATTGCAGACAGTGGCGAACTCCCTCTTTAATCCTCCACTTCTCTTCCTTTCTCCCTAAACCATTCGACGTATTTGGTGATAATGGTTGTTCCTTTCACCTAATGTTGAAGACTGCTTAAGCCTTAAGGTGAAATAGATTGTGCACTGAGATTTTAGAGACGTTTTCGGTGGCCGTTATAAAATGCGATCACGTACCAACAATGTACCAAATGCAACTAAAAGGTTATTAGTAATGGATTGTTATTTGGCCCGCAGTGATTTTGATGCATCGAAGTGCCGAAGATGTTGGGTTAGCTAAATTTTTATATTTAAATATTTGAAAACTTTCTCTGGACTTGATTTTTGCTAATTAATTCTAAAAAAATAGAGAAAAAAATCGGGTTGCCTTAATTTCGCCGGGTCTTTGGACTTAATTTTTACTAGTTAATTCTTTTTTATAAAAAAAAAAAGAAAGAAAATTCGGGTTGCCTTAATTTCGCCGGGTAAAGAAAATTAGGGTCGGAGGCAAAATTTTCGATGATTTATATATATATATATATTACCAAAAAAACTAAAACCGGTTGTGGTTTTACTGTTTGCAAACTATTCACACACCTACTTGTGACTTTTATGTGTTGTATTGCTGCTCTCTTTGCATTTGGGTCGTCCCTCTCTTCTTGCGTCAGACAAGTTTTGCTTTCGATTGTTCGATCTGCCGTGGGTGGTGTTGTTCTTCTTCTTCTTCTTCTTCTTTTTAATCTATTAAAAAAGTGAGTTGGATTATTGGCTGTTAGTTTGAACTGTAACTATCGGCTTTGTTTGGTGGTTGCTATCTCACCCTTCTTTTTCTTCATAATTTCCCTTGTACCATTAGTTTTTTTTTTTTGATATTATGTTTTCGCCCTTTGCTGATTCATTTATTTTTTCATGTCTGTCCTTTTTCGACATTATGTTGATTTTTTTTATGGAACATTAAATGCTTGCAGTTTGCGTGTTGTCTACCTCTTCCTTCTTTCTTTCATTTTGAGTTTTGGTTCTTTCTTTTTCTTTGTTTTTTTTTTGATCGAGGGTTTCGGTTCTTTCAATCGTATGCTAGAGAAAACTGAAGGCCTAAGGTATGATGGTCATAGATGGGGTTTCGCTTCTGTTGCCGACAACAACCTCGTTTGATTGCAATTTGGTTCTTTCTTCTTTGTTTTCCTTTTTCAATGTGAAATTAGCCGTGTTTTCCTTCTTTTCTGTCCTTTCTTTCTTTGTTTTGGATGGAGCCAGTTCGTTCATAGGTAGAAGGTGTCAGAAAAAATATAGATGTGTGGTGTTTCTATTACTACTCCTTTATTGTGCCTCGTCTAGATTTGACTATTGTCATGCTCTTCGCCTGTCGCAAGTAAGTTTACTTTCTTGCTATTTTGTATTCTATTATTGTTAAATTTTATAAGTACATCATTTTATGAGTTTGTTACCTAGGTTAGTCTATTTTCTATACAAGTTAACATGCTTAATTGATGCTTTAATGAATATGATTTACTTAGTCGTTGGTTCAGGCTTTCTATCTATATAATTGGTCATTTGATTATGAGTCATGTCACATATTCTGCAACGGAGGACACTAATTGATGCCATTTCATCTCTTATTTTGCTACATGGTTGATGTTCTTTGCTGCAGAACCAATAAAATTTTAAACTATTTGCCCAAATTTCAATTCGTTTTTAGTTAAAAAGAAATTTCACCAAGATTTTTTTTTTTACGACAAAAGGTGTACCAATTTACACACACTGGACCTCTTGTTGATTTGATTTGAAGAACGCCAAAAGCAGCAGTAGAACATCCTAATGCTATGTAGTATGTAACAAGAAAATAAACACACATTATATTTCGCTATCTTGGTGAGATCATTAAATAAACATACCTAGAAAGTGAAAATATTGGGCTTGCTTCTATTCCATAATTACTGAGTTCTAGGAAGTCTAAAAGCACAGAAAGACAATGATTCCACCACATGCTTCTTCCTTAAAATCATCTAATTCTAAAAGAATAAAGTTATTGAATTAGACAATGTTGTGTCATTACTTAGTTTAAGATAATAATGGTGCTTATATCTAAGCTAATAAATAATTAAATCATTATCAATAATATGGTTGTGTTGCTTTTTCAAATGAAATTAGGAGAATATACACTTAAGGGTCCAAAATGGCAATAATGGCATTATGTTTTCCTTAATGTTTCTTGGGTTTTCATTCTCACTATCTTTTTTGCTTTTAGACTCTAATCCAATTATTTGCTCCATTGCTATCAAGATCTTTATGTTCATGGCTTTTTTTTTGTTTTTTTAATATTTAAGGTTTGTTTTTTTGAAGCGTTGCTCTTATTGAGCCTTATCATTATTTAAATCCATCATTAACCTATTTTTTTAAAATAACTTTTGGTTATAATGCTTATTTTAGAGCTCATCCTCCTATTTTGTTTTTCTTTTGTCACTGCTTGTTGTACTTTTGTTGTTTTTTTCATTTCATGACCTTCTTCCTAGCATATTCATAACTAATCTTTTTGTTGTTACGAAGCCGTTAATCCTCTTTTGAAGCCTGACATGTATCTTGTGCTCATACATTTTTTTTTCTTTATGTTATTTGATGCATGTTTTGTATGGTTGCTTATTCACATGCTGTTTTATGTTCTATTCCTGTTCATACCTACTCATTTAGTCAACCTATTCAACTAAGTTATGTTGTTGCTAATTAGTTAAGACTCAAAAGCACTAAAGTATATCTATGTAAATATTAAGATAAGAATGCTCTGTCAAAAATGACAATTTTTTCTATGTGCCTTCAACCCAGTTGTGTCTAGTTGGAAAAGCCTTGGCTTCCAAATATTTTCTTATTTTGATCATTCGATACTACTTATTGTGCCTGCGATCACTCTCTAGTTCATCATTCATTTCATTCCTTAGTTGACATCCAAGTCATTTAAGATAAACAGTTTCAAGTTCTTAACTTTGATCAACGATTCTGCTTCTTCTTTTATTATTTAATTAGAGGGATTTATGTCATCATCATCTTCTAACAAGCTTATTTGGTGTGTTCGACAAGCTGTATCAGTCTCTCATTTCATGACTTCATGTACTTTGATCAGTCAGCGATTTTGGCCTAAATGATACTTTCAAAGATCATGATTTTGCCCCTTATTTTAATTATCAAATCCTTTGCTCTCAACAACTTACAAAGGCTACATCTAAACATTTTGAATTGACCAAGCATCATGACAGTGATCCTAATTAAACTATGCATTACTTTTCCCCTCCATCATCATCTGGTCCATTCTTACCCGCACCTGAAGTTGCTTTATCTTATGAAAGAAATTCATATGATATATTGGTAGCTGATAACTTTCATCTTGTCATGGATGCTTGTCCAAACAAGGATACTTTCTGCAAGACCATGAAACTTTATCAAATGGAGAAGGTGTTGAGGGTTTTTTGCTAAAATTTTTATCATGTCATTAATTACACTGATCCACTATCAATTGTCTTGAATTCGCTTGCTTTATGTAGTCATCATACAAGTCAAATATCTTATCAATATAAAATTAAGAGTGCGTTTTTTCACTAAGGATTTTTAAAAATTAAAGAAAACGCTTCTTTATCAAAGATTTTTTTGAAATTGTATTTTTTGGTCCTTTTGCATTCATCCTTCTATTAAAATAGTTCTAAAATGATTTTAGGTTGCCTGAAACTAATCTCGATTTTTTATGGTTATTTTGCCTCCGACGTTAGGGATAACTCCAGCTTAGTTCCCCCTTTTTATCGGATCAACCCATAAAGACCTTCACTTATATCAGAAAATGAAATAGTATTTCAAAGGATGTAAAGCTCAAATAACCACTAACTGCTTTGAAAAAACACAAGGTCAATTCTTGGCAAAAACTATTGAATTCATTCATTGCTAGTCCTTTAGAAAAAAACTTCCAAGAATATTTATGACAGCCTGAACAAGAGTGAAAGTATGTGACATCGCTGTTAAAATGGTCCATGTATTGCTAGAACTTTCCAATGTCCTACATTGCTCTCCACGTTTTGAGATATGCTATTTTAGAATTATCCTAATTTTGTTGTACAGTTCAATTATATGGATACAAGGTTTTTAGGTTCCTGCTTTTGTTGTTGTAAAAAAATGTTGTATATTTTTTCTTTTAAAATTGTTGTCATTCCTAGACATTTGACTTAGATTTAACATGAATGTATGTACATATTTGTTTTCATTCTTTTCACTTTCTCTTAGCATTAATCAAGTGAGTTGATTGTGTATGTGTGTACATATAGTCAAATGATAAAAGCTCAATTAGTTGTGAAAATTAAATGAATGCAGGTCGCTAGAACTGCTAGCAAACATTTGCAAGCAAAACTAAATGTGGGCAGACAATCTTCACACACACATATATATGTAACCGAGCTCGTTGAAATATTAAAACCCATTTCTTAGAAATCATGCTGTCCTAAGCCATCATCGAACGCATAGTTTTTTGTTTTCTCTTTTTGCCGTGCCATACACCAACACTCTTTAGAAAGAAGAAGTTTTTTTAGATTCAGAATCATTTTGTAACTCTTGATATATTAGCCTGCAGAGTTACCAACAAAAAATACCCATCATTTCTGCAGTATTAACAGACTCCGAAAAATGCTGAACGTCGTTTATATCACATTGATATCAAAAATCACTATTCTAAGAAACTAGAAGCGCTAGAGACCTGGCGAAGACCCGATATGGTTTGAATGACCAGATCTTTGCTGTCTTACCTACCATACAATCTTGCGCGATGTAGTTGAGATAACCCAGTCCCAAATCAGATGTCTCAAGCTAATACCATGCTTTGGAAAGCATCTTAGATATGAAGGAAGAGTTTGTTCTGCATCACCATCACCTCAGTACAGATTGATCATATCATTTTCTTCATCACTGTCGAAACCCCAGACGAACAAATAATATGACACTTAACCTCCACCTTTTTTAATAAAAAACATACAAGAACTCTTACCCATTAACCTCAACCGCAATACCCTCGATATTCATTATGCGCTACCTTGAAAACGTCATATCTATCTGAATGCAGAGCAAGTTGTTGATAACCTGTATTATGTAACAGTCCACGTTTCCTTTCTCTCGCTCCTCCATCCATGTCTATTTCACCAACAACAGAAAACAAGACTAATACATTTCCCTATCCTCTGTAATCCCACAGTAAATTTCATCTAGAATTTATTGTCATAGATCAATGTTCCAAATACATAAATAATAAATAACTCACCATAAAGTCGATAAGGAAAAAGACATTCTTTGGAGTATTTATGGAGCTATCCTGTGGCCGGAGAATTGTTGATATGAGGGAAAGTAAGGTTGTTAATAACTAAAACCCAGGGAAGCAAGACAAAAGAATTGATTATACCATAAGAAATCAGTCTCACACATGAAAGCATATGGTTTTGGGAAAAAAAAAAAAAAAGGATTTGCGGTTTGCAGTTTTTCCCATTCTTCTCATGAAACATTACTTGATAGCTTAGTCTATGATGTCCAATTGAAGCATCCTTGAGTTTCCCCCTGGGCCCCTGTCTAGCAACCTAGATAATACACACACACAAAATTTGGAATTGGGGGTTGATTAGCCTTAATATAAATCATTTGTTCCCATCTAGTTAAACAGCATAAAACCTAGCCTCTAAAATGTCTGACGAGAACACTCCAATTTCCTAAAGGCATGCCATGAGTTCAACTATGCACACAACAAACTCTGTACTTTTCTTCAGTCAAGATGCCTAAGCCTCCTTGAGTTTTGAGAATCTAAAAGCAAAGGCCAAGTTCAACAGACCGGCTTCCACAAAGTCATCATATGGAAAGACAGCAACTCTAGCAGTGTCCAGCAAAAGATTACATTTGTGGGTTCATTCGATCCTACTAAGTTAAGCCTGAATAGTCTTTGCAGCCCACCAAGTTACCACAGAGGGCCTGCTGAAGATGCTCAAACAATCACACAAATATCCATAATCATTCCAAAGAATAGGGAGGTTGCAGAATTCTGGCCTAGTAGTAAAAATTGTTGCAACATTTCACTCCCTCTATGTTGTCCAGATTCTATAACTGCGATACACTACATTCCAAATTCAGAACACGTATTTCAGAATTCAAAAAAATGAAATCTGAATTAATCAATACGTCTACAAAAAATATCTTCTACCTACAACCCACACAATCAGCTGCAACAAATTAAATGCTGCATCAATTCACGACTTCATTTTTTCTTTCTCTGCAGCATCATAAATAAAAACTTTTTTTAAGTACTGAAATCACAGACCTACCTGATTGCCAATTCCCTCCCATGGAACAGCACCAGCAAATCAACGAATACAAAACATGGAGGCAAAAATAGCAAACTAAAAAGGCAAACAGAACATAAATACCTTATTTCGGATACAACGCAGTAAAACCGGTCAGGCAGCCTTGAAATCGTAATCCTTATAAAACATAAAAACAAACACCACATAAGCATACATAACTATCATTATCACCACCTACGTCCGTCTCCACCACAACAAAAAACACAAACTGTCACACAACGCAGACCTCAAAACAGACTCATAGCTTATTATTAATTGACTGACTAAGCATGATTAAGCAAAGATGATCGAGATTACTTTAATTGATTGATCCATGGATTTGATTTGATTTCATTTCATTTCAAGACTCGTTGCTTGTGCCATCCAAATTGCTGTCTCCTCCATTCTTAACACGACGCCGTTCCTGAACAATGTTGGAGAAATTGACTGATAAATCGGAGTAAATCGACATTACCTTGGAGATATTTCCATTAATCTCGCGAATTAATGAAACGTTTTTTACGAGATTATCTGGAATCTTCGACTGGTGATTAGCGTTCACTTGTTGAATCAAGACACGGTTGCGATCCAGCACGCTCTGCACCTGCTTGAAACTCTTGCTCAGAGTATCCCACGCCTCCACGTCATACGCTTCTTCATCTCCTCCTCTGTCGTTTTTTATTCGCTTCTTGTTTGGTTTTGGTGAAGCGGTGCCGGTAGAGTTGTCCATGTTTGGCTCTTCTTCCTCCTCCACCGGCGATGATGATTCAAGCTTCGTCATGCATCATATGTGAGTTTAGCTTCTCTCTCTCTCTAGATTTTGTCACTCAGGTTCTGTTTTTTCAGCAGAAACGACGAAAACCAAACTCGCATGATTGTTTTTATATCTTATGGTAGGAGAAAAAGCAGTCGGGTCGAAGACTAACCGACTTGACATGGCGGTCTGCGGTTGTTGGCTGTGGTTGGACAATTTGAAAACCACTCATTCTTCCAATTTGGTGAGTTTTGATTGGTCTGTCAAAGGAAGGGTGATGCAGCTAGTCGTGCAAAGTGGAGGATTCGTTTTCAAAGAGGGAAAAAAGTGGTGGGCCTCGTGGGTTTTGCTTTGCTTGTTGGCCTGGGATTTTTTTTTATTATTATTATTGTTTTAACTCCTAGAGCTGTCTTATTGGACGATTGGGTGATTTTACGTTAAAATAATAAATATCTTCTCGTTCAAATAAACAACTAAAGGTTTTACGGCAAGAATGGTCCCTAGGGCTAATATTTTTTAGATAAATTTGATATTTTTTCTGATATTTGTAACAGTCAGACCATCAAGTGAAATGTTTTTAAAAAATCATTTTCAGAATTAAGAGGATTAAGACAGAAGATTATCTTAATCACAACATAGTCCTGGAATAGCATCTTTTTCTTTCCGCTCTCAGCCTCTGGTTAATCAAATTCTGGTGATTTGGAACATCATCTCGCTGAATCTGCTCCTACTGTAGGTGATTGCAGATGCTTGTGTTTGCATAGAGTAGTATATCACTATGAAATTTTTTTTATTCTTTTCAACGTAGCAATTTGAGAGCATGCATCAGAGGCATTTCAATTGTATACAAATAAATGCAAAGAAAGCGGACTGTTTGCCAATTGAAACATGGAAGCCACGTACAGAAATAAGATATTATTAGATCTACCACACATCTTTAAGCTCTAGCACTACGCATCTCTCAGAAGGAAAAGGAAAAAATTCAACTGACCTCTTCTCTCTCTCCAAGTATTGATCCTCTGACAAGAAATCTACAGCCTCTGAACGTATAATCTACAGCAGTTGATGAACCTCTGAATCTTGTAAAATCGGTCCATAACAATAATGGATTCTTTAATTTCCAGAACAATAAGTGTTAGTTCATCAATTAAGCTGCTTGTGAACATATCATCTTCGCCAGAAAGAGGTGGAAAAAGCGCTTCAGACGCTGGAGCTTCAGTGATCAAATAATCAATCCACTTTTCAAGCTTGCTAGACTCATCCAAGCCCTTGAGCTCAGTCAAACCTCCAATCACAATTTCATTAGGGGAAAAAAAAAAAACTTAGAAACAATTCTCCTTCACCAATAGCCTGTTTCCTTTCATCTCTTTTTGGTAGAAAGAACTCGAAGAACACTAGTGACAGCAACTGCACCCTTCTCTGACAAAATTCTTAAGGGCGACAGCCTTCTCAGGCGAAGCAGATCTCTCAGATTCGGAATCGGCATCTGAGGGACGAAAAGATGTACCCATGTTGGCTTCCATCCCAAGAACCTCTGTTCCATTAAAAATAGGATCTGGCTCTTTCTGCTCACCAAGAATGTCCTCAGGTATAGGCTCTAAGTCATCAATTTCATCCATCATCTTCACCAGAACTGATTTCTCTCTCTCTCCCTTCTCGGTTGCAATTTAGAATTAAAGGGTTAAGACAGAAGACAGTCTTAACTTTTAATTCTGAAAATAATTTTTTTAATAGTTTTTTTTTTTAATAAAGATAGAATACTTAAACAATATCCTTTAAGCATTTCATTTAACGGATAAACAAAATCGTTTAAACATTTCATTTAACAAATAAAAGAGATTGATTGTTATAAATAACCAAAAAAAAAAAAAGATAAATTTTACCTCCAAAAAAATGATAATTTGAGCTTCAAATTGGATTAACTGTTATAAATAACAAAAAAAATTTCAAAAAAATAATAATTTGAGCTTCAAATTAAATAAATTGATAATAAAATTTTGCAATTATTAAACTGTATGAGAGGCCAAACCAACAAATAAATCTCGTGGATTATGGAGCTGGGCGCATTACGGAATGCACCTTGAGCCGTGCGTTGACTTGGAAATCCAACGGTGAGGAGAACGGGGGGACGGCGGCGTCTGTTGTGAAAATCTGAGTCTTATGATGCCATATAATGGGCTTCAGTCGGTGAAGCTGGAACAGGATCAAAGTCTCCTCGGGAGTTGGAGGCCTTATCCTGAACTCAGGAAAGGAAGTCAACTGACTAACAAGAAACATATTCTCTGTTGAAGAAATGAAGTCATAGATTCTTCGCATAGATCGAGAGAGCAATCTGCTATATCCTACCCTATCGTAAATCACTGCTCAACAATTTACCCTCTTTAATCTTGAAATTATACCAAATGACGCCGATCAATTTGTAATTCCCTTGATGTTGGAACTTCGAATATATGTACTGTTCATGATGTAAGATCCCATATCTTCAGGTAATTGTGTCCGGACCACATCCTGCACCACCATTATTGTTTGAGAATAAAGAAAGACACTGTTATTGAAGTGGCATTTACTTTTGAGATTTATAATTACAGGTTCAAAACGGTTGGAAACCACTCAGAACAACCACCAAGGACCATTTCACTACTTTCAGCCTAAGCTTTACAGGCCAAGAATACACGAGTGCAGTGCGGAGCAGATTGGTGCAATATAAATAATATTGCTCTATAGACTTCGAATTAAATCTCTTAAATAACGACAAGTAATTTGGTCAGCCTATGACTTACAGATGTACATCCTGACCGCATAACAAGTCATTACTGATGACAGTTAGAAAGGGTCCAATACAAGTTCAGAACAGAAGAGGAGCTTAATCTACAAGCTTAGGTACAGCCTAGTCTAGCTCATCTTTCACCTACCTCCATCAAGGAACGGAGCTTCTACATAAATATTAACATCTAAAAACCTGTGGTTAAAACCTGTTGTGTGGATGACTGATTAGTTTAGTCAGTATCACTATCTGTTTCCAGAAAGCTAAACTCTTTGAACCCATCAATCTTGATCAGCAAAGCTCCTTGGTTCTCCTCACTCCAATCAATACCTTCATTCTCCAGAAGTCTTACGACCTGCATTCATTAAGCAGCAAGATACAGTATATTGTCAGTGCAGGAGACCTAGATGATTCCCCAGGTGGCTTTTGCATGTCAGGAACTGGCTTTTCAGTTCTTCCATCTCAATATTTCCCAAAGTCAAACGTTATCAAAGATGAAAAAAGGAAACTACAGAAGGAAAGTAGTACATTGTTTTTCCCATGTGACAAATCGACAAGAGAAATACACTAATCGTGAGCCAATCTAATACCAAGATAAAGGGACGTGTAGTTCGTTTTGTAATTCATTGTCTCAATGCAGAACATCAAGCCTTGAAAAAATAATTAACTAACTAATTTCCCAAAATAAGATAGCAAATTAGCTGGAAGTGAGAGTAGGAATCCATACCGATTGTTTGACTTTTGACTTTCCCAGACCATGACTCCCACATCCTGTGATTACTCTGAGAGTTTGAATTGCTGGGACGAGACCACAAATGGTTATTATAACCAGCAAAAATGAATATTGAGGTAAGCCCGAATGCAAAAAAATAGGAGGCGATGCTTACAGCGCACATATGTTCCGAATAGAAGATGAAGTTTCAAAACCTTCATTGCTTGTTTAACATGTTGCCCATGTAAATCGATTGTTATGACATTTGTTATGCCCTTGTTTCTGCAGAATATTTGCAAATCATGGTCTATGTACAACATTAAGTCAAGAGTTGGGAATATAACAAATCATCTCATGCACAGACCTAGCTTTAAAGATATCCTGGCTTGCCTTTTCATCTGCCTCTTGCGCCAACTTAGTTTGTATCCTCCCCTGCCCAAATGCAAGATAGCAAGTCAATAACTTATGGTGTAAAAAACTCACCAGCTAAATGTACATAAAGATCCTGGGAATCTAAATTGTAACCCAACAACATAATCGAAAGCAAAATTGCAAATACAGCCCAAAGACGTTCAGAATGGCCCACAAATAAAATGAAAATGGTGGGTGACAGGTACAAAAGCAAAAATGACAACAGCTCACTTGATGACCCCATTTTGACAAATTTTTACCAAATAGGAATAGAATACTATTTGAAATGGGATAGCTATCATTCTTGTTTTGCTCAACAAAAAGATTTATAGAATTTAAAAGGAGATGCCATATCAACGAATCTTATAATGCTTCATCACAAATGTCTACAGAAAAAACCATTAGAAATTTTTTTTAACCCAAAAAAAGGCAAGATAGGCTAGGCAGTCCAGCAACAATAGTAATCGTTACCACTTTTGAAGAAGTGGTAAGTTGTCAGTGGGAGAATTGAGGGGAAGAGGAAGACCTAAGATAACGGGAAAGTCGTATTTAAGGATCTACAATCCCTCAATATTGAGATTGATTTGGTTTATGAACGAGCTAGATGACACAAACAAATCCATGCAGCAGACCCCAACTAGATCAAGGATGAGGCTTAGTTGTTGTTGTTGTTGTAGGCTAGAGAATCCAACACCAATTATTTAGAACCTTTTCCAAGACCACTCAATTCATTACATGCATTAGACAATATATGACTTTTCAGTTTCCAAATATAAGAAATCATAACAATGGATTATAATGGATAAACAAATATGAAGATGGATTGTGGATCTTGACATTGAAATACAAATGCAATTATCTTTCCCTAAGCAGTTGACTCACCTGGTCTGAAAGGTAAGCGGCATGCTCCCGTTGTCCCTTTGAATATGCTGCTGCAGCCTGAAGAAAAGTTTATCTTCCATCAGAAACAGCTTTTTTTAAAAAGAGGCTAAATTCTTACATGGTATCTAAAGTTGTAGAGCTGTTATGAAGTAGGAAATCTACTTACTTTTTGATAGTATGAGTTCCTTGAATCCCACTGTTGCTTTGCAGATTCTCTAAGCAGACGATATTCTTCACCCTTGGCTACAATTCACAGAGAGGTAACAGTAAAGAAAAAGGCATAAAGAAATATTATTGTCCATCTAACAAGACAAAGCTGTCTAAATTTTTTCTCAATTGCACTTGTGCTGTCTGTCTGCACAGTAGATTGATAAATTGCAAAATGGTAACAAAAACACATCAAAAGGGGATATGATAATCCAACGGATGTGAACTAAAAATAACATGTAAAACAATTAATGGCAAATACCATAGTTATTCTGCTGAGATAGTGCATCAATAGATGGAGAGACATCAACACCAGGCCCCAGTGATTGCATTTTCTTTACTACATTCCTCCAATTCATCGTGCTAGGTTCATATTCAGAACTCTTGGGAATGTTAAACAAATATTCCAATACCTTTTGAGGGAGACTTGACTGATTACTTCTTGAGGTCGTTGAAGATGGAGCTTCAAAACTAGTAAGGGCCTGATAATAATTCCTAAAAAGGAGAAAACAAGCAAGCTTCAGCATTAGGAGCATTTTATGGTTGATTCACTGAAAAGTTATCCGTTCAAGTGTATCTGAACAAATGGTTTCTCTTTAGCAATTTGTAATGATCCACATACAAAATAACAGTGTACAAGCTCTATTAACGTCAACACTTTCAGAAGTCTTCAAGTTCATCCTATGGTCTGTTAAGTGATAATTAACATCCTGCATAAGTTTTCCCCTCTCCTTTTTCTTTCTTTTGTCATAATTTTGAGAAACAGTTGCTCTCAGGGGTTGATAAAAATTGCATGTGATCCATGCTCTAGACATTGAATTTCAATTAATATTAAGCTGAAATTTCTCTTAAATATGTGACGCATCTGATTAACTTTACCAGAATGATTGAATACATCCAGCAAAGAAGTTAAGAATTTTTTTTTTTAAAAAAAAAGTTGAATTAACATTAAATGAAAGACATGATAGTTAGGAGGGTTAGACACGAATCAACAAGATATAAATGGAGGCTATGATTTACTGAAAGGAAAAACACATAACCTTCCATTTTAAAGGATATCTTTTCTACATCTTTTATCAGTTCTATTAGTACTGCAGTTAAAAGAAATGCAGTTTTTTTATTTAAAAAAACATAAATAAATAAAAACACACAAAAATTAAAAAAAAAAAAACAAAAACAATATCACTAGATTGAAAATTAAAAGAATAAGAACTTAAGATGAGGGCCAGCAGAGCAGAAGAGACCTCCAATCCTTTTGAGTATCAAAAAAATCCTCTGAAGAGGCCCCTGAAGTGGGCACCCCAAGAACCGATCTATACCACCACAACAGTTTACTATCACTAGCTAAAAGAGATACTCAGGGACAATTAGGAACAAAGAAACCCAGAAAATGGTTGTGTAACAACAGTTGTTTGTTAACAGTTTAATCAAAAGAAATACTAGGATTATTGGGCCCTCACAGTGTAGTTCTCCTTCACTCGCATAAAAGTGGGACCATAGGTAGTTATCATTGTGGATCCCACTTTTTTTGTAAGAAGCAATGCACTGGGAGTACCTAAAAGTTCCTTGAAATACTACAATAGCGACTTATTAGTTACTCCCAAAATAAGGCCCAACAATCATCACACCTACCCACACACATGCACAACATGCATATCAGCACATACAAGGCAACTAGTTGAGCAATGATGGTAACAACAATAACAACAGAATGGATTACCTGTAATCACAGCCCCATATAGTATCGTGAAGTTCACTTTCAGAAGAATGGGAAGTACAGTCAGAAGCCCGAACAGTCCACTGTTGAAAATTTAAAACAATCACCACATGTATAGTGAAAACTAAAGCCATAAGTTTCCATATTTGAAAAACAAATCAACACGGATGGAAATTTCAAATATGCATAATTGGCAATATTGTTAAATGCAGAAATTTGATTAAAAAAAAAAACCTAGATTTACCTCTTTTCTAAATACCACAGGCTGGCTAGAATGCTGAAACGATGCAACTAGAACTCTTTCCTAACAAAGAGGGCATAATTGATATTTGGCTATTTGTTAACAGCAAGAACTGAACCTATAGCGGTATTTAATTGAAGTAGCATCGAAAATTCAGTGATTGTGGCGAAACCTACTCATTTAGATGCCTGCATGCTTAATTAATGAAGACAGTAAAAGGACATACAAAACAACGAAACATAAGGATGGAGGTTACTGCATTTGTAAACAAACAACATAGAAGACACCTAAAGAGATCAAAGAACCAAATGGTATGAGCTCAATTCACAATGTGCAAATGCACCATAGACATCATCTTCTTACTTTCAGAATCAATCATTCTATTGTAAAAGAAGAAAAACAAAACTTCATCTAGTTCTAGTTCTAGCAATAAGCTTAAAAATAACCATATCATCAACATAACTACTCTAGAAAACAAAAACCTAAGAGCTTCTTATAACCTTGTGAAGCTCCAAGGACAATAATAAGACTGAAAGGCTAGGGAGAGATCATTTTTAAAGCACATGAATGAACCAAGTTCCCTTGACAAAAAGAATCAGCAGTGTAACAGGATATGATTAGCCACCATTTCCAACATAATCAACAGCACATATGGTAACACTTACATTATCACTGCGCTCAGCAAGAAATCTGGCATCTTCTTTATAGTTTACAGAATCTTTAACATATCTACCACTACTTGATTGTTCATGGGAGGAAGCAGATAAATCAAGCAATGCATCCAACGCCTGAAAAATAACAAGCCTATGAAAAGGTAATTCATAGTTTAGAAAATTGGTACTCCACAGACATAGAAGTAGAATAGCAAATTGCAACAGCGGCAAACTATTATTCCAATAACCAGCTCATTTTTAAGGAGCAAGCACAGGGGCCTATTTAACTCTGAGCTTCATGTGCTTGACTCAACGAAGTGTCAAGAGCATTGATAGATTATTCAGACAAACATAATTCTTTTCCCTCCAATACAAACATCATATAGATGATGATGGCAATTGAGATAGTCCTGGTATAGAGGGTGGCAAAGGCAATGGAGACAGCACAGTTATAAGGAGCGATACTGAGAAGAAAATGGATTCCAAATCATAATTTCCTAACCTTATCAACATCATATCTGCACTGACCTGCAAAAACAACATCTCAAGTCAACTGGTATACTACAATAACAATCTTTAATTACAAAATCCGTTCCACTAACTACAAAAATAATAAGGAGATCCGTATATACACATGCGTTATGATTAAAATGCCCACCAACATGATCGAAATACACACACAAACCTAGATCAAGGATTTGAGACTCTTTTACTTGAGTAAAATGGCGGTGCAAATAAATAACAAAGAAAAAAGGATCAAGCAAGCAAAACCATTAAAATTGCCATTAAGAACCAAGTTAAACCAGCGAAGCTAAACAAAACCATCTGATTCTACAATCTTCCGCATTCAATCAAAGCACATCAGCGCACTACATTGGACCCCAAAAACAATTTCATACCAAATCTATACACACCTCTTCACCACAACTTTTGCCATGCATTTCAACTTTTCCCAAGAAACTCAATCAACAAATTCATCTCTACAGTTCACTAGTCAAAAATATAGGAAGGAAAAAAAAACTCTAGAGAGCTACAAACAAGAAAGATTCAATACTTACAAAGAACATCTCTAACAACTCCCATGCTAAGCTCACAATCATCACCAAGCATCGAACACAAAAACTGTTCCGCCTCTTCTTTCACCACAAAACCATTCCCAAAGTCTTTTGCTTTCGTAGAATCCCTCCTCGGGCTAGCCTTCACATACTCCTTACCTAAAACAGACGAGACGGTGCCCGTAACGGCCATAACTCTCTTCTGCTTATTCCCTCCTCGAAACCCTTTCCCCTTCACCAAATTTCCTTCCAAAAATTCATCAGTTGAAACCGAGCTTGAACCCGTACTACTATTCGAGCTCGAACACAAACCAGAACCCGATAACCCACTCGAAACGGAACTTGTCGATGGATCCTCGCTATTTTCCATCAAATTCGCTAAAACCTCCGCCGCTTTGTTAGAATCTCCCTTCGCTTCCGTAAACGCATCTTCCGCTTCTGCTACAGAGATCGAGTCAAAAGCTTCCTTTAACGTCTCCGCTAATTTGCTCCCTTCCTGCTTCTGCTCCTGACATTGGTGCTGATGCTGATGCGATTGTTCACTCTGACCTCCGTGATGTGAGGTGGGTTTGGGGGCACGTGGAGCGGGGCGTTTCTTTTTCTTCTTATTGGATTGTTGCTTCATATTCTAGGGATTCGAGATCGAAATTAGAAGAGATTTGTTTTGTGATTAAGAGAGATTGATGATTTTGTTTGTGTGAGGAACCCTAGATTATGGGAGAAAAGAGAGAGAGATTTCTTGGGTGAGAAAATGAAATAGAGTGTTACTGAAATAAACCGTTGTGGGTGTCTAGGAAGGTAGTTGTTGAGGGAGATTTACGTTCGTATAGGAGCATGAGCATCTCAGAATCTGTACTATTACGCGTTTTTATGGGGTCCGACTTTTTTAAAAAGTGCTGTTGCCCTTTTGACCTCACGCTCTTTGGAGGGTCTTCGTACACACGCTCAATTATTGTCCGTCTTCTTTTGTTTTATGGATTTCTTTTGCCTTTTCTTTGTTTTTTGATTTTCCTTTTTTTTTTTTTTTTTGGGTAGATTCACCAAAAACTATTTTCTTTTTCTTTTTTTGTTTTTTTGGAAGTATATTGAATTAGAATTGAAAATTATGTTAATCAAAAAAAAAAAGGAAAGTAGGTTTAAAATAGTTTATTGGAAATTTTGTTATCAAAAAACAATTTGAATGAAATTAATTATGTACTTACTTTTTTAGGCTACAACCCATCCACTATAATTTGGATTGTTTCTGTAAAAATTACAAAATCTTTTACATCCAAGCAAGAGAATGTTTTTAGTATAGAATGTGGATTTTTGTAATAAAAATGTTTTGAATATCAGATGAATTCATAATCTAATAACTTGCTATTCAGTTCAAGGTGTCGTCGAGTTCTTTTGTATATTAAAGGTGCGAAGCCCATGGAAAGATCTAAATCAACTTATTATGGCATATTATCATTGCCACAGCTTCCAGACTTTGGAAATCAACAACGTTTATGAACCCATACGAATTGGCAAACAACCCAAATAATGTTGATTTGAGAAAAACAAATCTGCACAGCGTGGGCCTCTTTCCACCTACAGCTACAAAGAAAGAACAAAGCTGAACCCATTATTTTACTCAACGCAATACCACTACATGGATCAAGGATACGCCCCTTTGTTTGCAGGACCAGAACTTTTAAATCTAGGAAACTCGAATTATCAACTAAAAAAAAAAAAAACAGGCTACATGCTGCTCTGCTATACAGAAAGAGGCTATCCAACGAGTACAGTGAATAGAAACTTTCACTATTGGCAGATTTTATTATTTTACTGGCACTAACAGCGAATTCATTTTCCAATATTGGGCCAAATGAGCAACAATAAAAGCTCTGCTGTAAAAAAGATCTCTATGCTAGCCAATTTATTTGATTACAACAAAAGAACGAGGTGAGGGGGGACAGCAGTTTCGTGCCCCAAGCACTTCATGGTTTTCCCTCGACTGTTTGAATTGGTTCTTCATAAACAGAGTTAACTAATGATTTAGCCTGTGCCGTGTAATGTGGAATAGCAATCTGCTCCGTTTTCTTGGGAGAACTTGGTGGATTCCATTGACGGTCTTGAATGGAACATGGGGGTGTTATTTTTGCTGCACCCAGCGATGCGTGGAACTGTTCATGCCCTACTGGCTTCAAGAACTTCAGCTCATTATCACTTCTTTCACAACGCAGACACTGCATTTTCCTCCTCTGCACCTCATCCTTCACTCTCTAGAGAAAGAAAACAGAAGGAAATAAATATCCTCAACAAAAATTCTCAGCTCATTGCAAATAGAAATCGAAGATATGTCAGAATAGTGGTTAAAAAATAGATCATATAATCCATTTTGTAGCATTCAAAATCTTTTTTTGGTTCTTTTCTTCAGGTGAGAGGAGGGGAGAAGATTGTTGTGGACAAGGAAGAACCTATGTTGGTGAAAAGATAGATCATATAATTGATTTTGTAGCATTGAAAATATTTGACTCCTATTTTGGTTAGGAGGGCAGAGGGGGTGGGTGGGTGGGGGGGTGTGGGGGAGATTGTTGTGGACAAGGAAGAACCTATGTCTACCACTGCTACCATGCAAAATTAACAAAGATGGAACAGTAAAATTCCATGAGGCAGTCAAAAGCATTTCTAAGATACCCTACACTATTCTGCCTTCCCAAAATTTAGAAACTTAACTGCCGTGGTTTCTAATTCAAAACATCCATCCTTTTAGTAAGGTATAAGCTTAACTGCTAGCAAAGAAGTCCAGAAGGACCAGATTCCTAGAAACTAACCACATCTGTCATACATATTTGAAAGAGTCCTGTCATAATTATACAATTTCATGTATACTGGGTATAACAATGCTTTCATTTGAAATGCAAATAATATAAAGAGTTGAAGAAATGCTCTTTCATCAGGTTCTTATTTATAAGCTGGGAATGAAGTTTAAGAATACTGTAGTAACATGCCTGATAAGACTGTTACTTTCTTTTAGAGACTGGTACTAAATTATTCCAGGCAAATTATTGGAATAATCAATGTCTTTATGCCAAAAACCGCAACTACTGTTTTCAGAAATCTACTCATCTTTCAATAGGTCCATACTCAGATCTTCAAACCAATTAGATTACAATAATCAACTTGTATGCAAACCAAACTATCACCATACACTAACATGTCATAAAACGAAAGCAAGCACAGAAAGTGTCTGATTCTCTAGCACTCCGATATAACTAACTATCATCTTTTCAGAAAGTGGCGTGATGATCTACCATAGAAGAACCAAGTTCATGCATTTCATCATGTATTTAAACCAAATTAAAAACCTAACATCCCTAGCCGTGTCTACAATCTTTTGACCCTAAAAGTGATGACTTCAGTCTGCAGTCTGCCCTTTTGAATTATAAGGAATAATGGTCCAGCTATAAGAACTAAGATTCTTTTTAAAAACTTTTGAAAGACCCCACATTTGTTCTCCGCTAAAGGTTTCAAGGGCAGTAATTTCTCAACAAAATGCTAGCTGTTCACAGAAATCCCTCTCCAGCATTATGCAGCCAATGCTCTTTCCGAAAATTCACATCCTAAATTACGTCTAACAGTTCAATAGCAACTTATCCCATTCATTTATGATTTTTAAATGGGATTGTGTTTCCTACTTTCTCAGAACAACAACATCAAACAACTTCCAATCAAAAGATAAATTCCACAACAAAGCAAATGCATCAACCAGTAACTAGAGCATCAAAACAAACTCTCATAGAACAAAAACAATAAAAAAGTTTGGAAACAAACCTGCAACAATCTTGAATCAAACTTGGGCAATCCAATTTGTTCAACAGTAAGGGAACCAAACAAGTTCCCCAGCAAGGCAGCATCTGGCACAGCCAACCCTTGAACCAAGCCCGCCGCAAACCCACCTAAAAAACTATCCCCTGCACCAGTCGGATCCTCTTGATTCGCCAAAAAGGGCGAAATCCCCAATTCCCCGTCTTTCCAATACACTTTACAGCCATCTTTCCCATTAGTCACCACCACACAACACCACTTCCTCACCTCCTCTACATCCATAAACGCCGCCTCCTCCGATGACGCCTTTAAAACCACAATGCGCGGTAGCAACGAATAAAAGCCCGTCTCCTCTAACTTGACAAGCTTAACAGTCCCATCAACACTATCAAAAATCCTGATTAAAGCTTGAATATCAACAAAAACAGCATCACAACTCTCAATCATCCTCTCAAGCGTCGCAGGAAGTATTTCTCCGCCAACACCAACCGCCATTCCAAAATTGGATCTGGTATCAGGAAGATCCGAAGGCCTAATCGAGTCACAAGCACAGACCCGCCTTAAGACCCGATCTTGATGACCATTCCCATGAATACCCAGATCAAAATAAGCGTGAAAAACAGTAGTTTTTGAAGTGGGTATTACTACTGGACTATAATTAACTGGGTATTTAAAATCTTCCCCAACTTTCGAAACTAAATTACAAGAGATTGACATTCCATTGAGAACATTGGAAATGAAAGACGCTGCACCACCAAGAGATTCGGCCTTGACGGTGTCGTTTTGGATCAAAACATCGTGGCAGTAATTTCCCACAATCAAAACACGGTTTTGCTGCTGTCGGGTTTTGTGGGCTGCTGCAGCTGTTGTAACCATTATTGTGAAGTTGATGTAATTGTTGAAGGTTTGCAGGTCATCAGCGAGAGAGAGCTAAATTTGGAAAGATCATGAGAAATGAAGAAGAGGAGAGAGGTGTATCTGTCTGAGTGTGAAAGAAATAGACAAAAATGGGGAGGTTTGGGTATGTGTTGAAAGAGAGAGGACGCGCGCCAAACATATAAAGAGAGATGGTGCTGCTTATTTTGGAGAGAGGCGACCATGAAACTCTTTGTCTTGAAGCGCTAAAACACGGAAAGGTATTGATTGAGGACGGATGATGTTACTGCCTCGTGGGATATTAAGTTACTTCGATTCGGAATTATTTAATTCCGATTGCCAGATGTTTGTACCGATAATATTTTTATTTTCTTGAAAAAAAAAACAAACAAACAGTTGTTGCTAATTTATTATACATCTTTGTGTAATACTCCTACGCACGCATGTAACGCTGCAAATTCAACCCGTCTTCCGTTTGGGACTCCATTTTTATTTGTGCACGTGGGGTACCTAATAATCTCAAGAGTTAAAATTGAACAAAACATGTTAAAATTGGAATAATTTGAAAAAAGAAAGAAATATCATTTCAATTTTAATATGATATTTATTCATTTGACTCGATTTCAATGGATAAAATACGGAGTTGAGTGGTATTTGTAGAATACAGAAGCTTGTGATGTTACAATTGAAGTAAATATCTAGTGGTAGGTATTTTTAAAACACTACACTGAAGTTTTTTGCCATATTTTTCGTAGCCACTAAGGGTAGCCAACTTTGACGGTGCAAGGACTTCTAACAAAACATTGAACCATACTTTTTCATCATTTTGCAATAATTTATTAGTAATTGTCAATCATAAATCCTGCGTTGGTTTTGGCAATACTAACAAATAAATCCTTATCTTTCGACAAATAATGAATTTTTTAAACATGTTTTCGCATGATTCTTCTTGTCCATTGGTGGATTTTTGCTGAAGAATTGAAAGTAATCAAGAAGTTTATTGCTAGTTGGATCCTTTATAGTTTCGGTCTTGTTAAGGGTCAGTATCAAGATAATCATCTAGGTTTCCACTTGTAAAGAGAAGATTTTTTTTTTTCCTACTTTTCTTTGTTAATGTTGTAATTCAAGAGATAGGAAAAGATTATCCTAGTAGATAGGCTTTAGGAGAAATGGAGGGATTGTTCATGCTTGATGAATACTGTACATTTTAGTTTGTTTGGATTTTTTTTATTGACTTATTTATGCGAATTTTTCAATGATTTCTTTTTCTAACAGGAAGCAATCAAGGTCAAACTTTTTTATTTTTATTTTTCAAAAGATGTCGTGACCAAATTTAACAAGAAATTTGATTTGAAGTAGAACAAAGTATGCTTTTTTTTTTTTTTTTAAGATACCATAAAACAGAGAATGCTCATAGGCTGTTTGTTTTAGAGTATAATATAACGTAGTTCCTCTCATTTTGAGTAACGAATTATTTAGTTCCATTCATTTTAAAAACTGATCTTTTAGTCCTTTGTTGTTAAATTCTTAACATATCTATCAAATTTATATATAATACCTAAAATACCTATTTGACATATAAACCTATCCCAAAAATAACACACATACGTCACTCTCTTTTCTTTTCTTTGTTATATTTGTCATAGTGCTCTCTTTCACTCTCTCTCAATATTTTTGTCATCTTTAGTTTAATCTTCATACCTCTTAATACATGGATGGTGGTTTTGTTCTCATAAATAAAACAAACCTCATTCTCTCTTTGTTCGTCCTTGGCTATCTTTGTTATGGTTTCTGAATAATGGCGCTCTCTCTCACTCTCTATGTATCTTTTTGTTTTTCTTTATAATTTGTTCTTAGTCATGAAATTGATTTGTTAAAGTTAATTTGAATTTGCTTTTGTTAGTTTTAGTATAGTTTCAAGTTTTATGTTAGGTGTGTTGAATTTTGGGTTGTTGGTTAGGGTTTTTAGATTTTTAGGGAATGAGTTCGAAAAATAAAACGAAGTTTTCGTGTTAAATAGGGTGTTAATGTTGATAGAATGTGTCAAAATTTTGAATTATTTTATTGCAATATGTGGTTTTTAAATCTAAGATTTGTAAAATTAGGACTTATTTATTTATTTTTTGTAATGGGTTTTGTTAGGTCCCAATCTATGAGTTTGAGAAATAAAAATAAAAGATTGTATTTAAGAAACACAAATAAGAAAAGTAGAAAAAATAAAATAAAAGAAGGCAATGAAAGAGAAAAGAAGATAAGAGAAGCTGGAATATAGAAAATAGTGAATAGAAGAAAGGAATAGAAGGTATAAAGTAGAAGAGGAGAGGTGGGAAAATAAAAAAGGAAGAGAAACACAATTTTAGGTTTGAAATTAGTTTTATATATAACTAGAAGGACTATTTGGGAATAAAACATATTTAAGTAAGGACACCTTTTCACTTTACTAACATAGAACTAATAGAGGGACTAAATTATTGATAAAATTAAAAAATGGAGCACTAAATACTTAGTTTTTGAAATGAGAGAGACTAAATAATTTATTTCTCGAAATGAGAGGGACTAAATTATATTTTACTTGTTTGTTTTAATACCCTGAATAGGATAAATCAGTCCAGACATTTTATGCAATGAAGAAATGAAAACTTTATACTTTGGTTTCATGTTTAGTTGGTCCTTTTTTTCTCGATATAGTACTAGGATTCTCATAACATAACATGTTTTGAAGCAATGAAGCAGATTTAATCTATTATTCCATAAGACTTTTTTTTTTTTTTGTACATTTATGTTATTTAAAAAAATAAAAAAGAAAACCGGTTTGAACCAGAAAATCGAAAACCAAATTCAGTTCGGGTTTGGTTTATATTTTTGAGAGCTTGGCTAATGAAAAACCAAATCGAAAATAGTACAAAACTAAACCAAAAAATTAAATAAAAACCGTTAATGAGAATGGTGAATTTTGTCATTAGATTATGTTCATATATTTCAAATAGAGTTTTCTAAATGATAAAAAGGAATACATTTATAAATTTGAGCCCCAAATTTTAATTATTCCTTCCCCTCCAATATCTCCCCCTCTCTGATTAGAGAGGGTACATTTTAATAAAATTGGTGAAATGGAGATTAAAAAGGTTTCTTAGCCTTTGTATTAAAAAAAAGTTAGATAATATATTTATCTATTTTTACGTAATACTCAAATTTTCTCATATGTCCTTAAATTTTCATTCGTGTCTTATCTGTTCTTAATTTTTTTATATTCCATTTATTATTCTGATCAATTTGTTTGATTATGAAAAAAAATTTAACTAAATTATCTTTTTTTTAAATGAAAAAAAAAACTTAAAGTTGCATGACTTGTAATTTCATTTAATTTTTTTTTCAAATTTTAATCAAGAATATTTTGGTAAAAAAAAAAATCTTACAGTTGAAACAATTGATTCAAAAGACATGTTAAATATTTTTAAAAAATTTATAAATAGATGAGAAATTTTGGATATTATATAAGAATTGATAGATATGTTTATTAAAAAAAAAAATCAAACAAGGCTAACGATTTAGTTTCCCTCTGCACACCTCTTTCTCAAACAACGTTACAATTCACCTCTTAACCAAACAACTTGTAAGTATCCTCGACGTTACTTCATCATAAATTTTGGCATTGGTAATTCATACGTCAGATGTAAAGCAAATATAGATATGCATTAAGAGTGCAAGTTTAACATCGAAATTTACGACTTGGAATGATATTCATTACCTATAGAATTTTATTCATTGAAGTTTCTCCTCCTATATATACATCTCAAACCAAATCAAGTACAGCCATCATACATGTTCTATTACTCATATGTTATTGTGTTTAGTTTTTAATTATGGCAGCCAAGAAAACTAAAGGAAGGCAAAAGGTGGAAATGAAGAGAATTGAGAATAAAGATGATAGATTAATCACCTTCTTAAAGCGTAGATCTGGGATCTTCAAAAAGGCTAGCGAACTGGTAACTTTAACTGGGGCAGAAATTGCAGTTGTAGCATTTTCACCGACAGGTAAGCCCTTCTCTTCTGGTCATCCTTCAGTTGAATCGATTATCAATCGTTTTCTTGAAGAACATTCGAACATAGACAACTCCACCTATAATCTCATGGAGGCTAACAGGAGGAAGCGAATTGGAGAACTGATCCAAAAATATAATGAAATGCAACATGAAGTGGAGGAGAAGAAGGAAAAAAGCCACAAATTAAAGGGCAAAATAAAAGAAATTGACTGCAAGAGTTGGTGGGATACTTCTATTGAAGACCTTAACCTCGACGATCTTATTAAGTTAGGAAAAAAGTTTGAAAAGTTACAAATGACCTTGCAAAGTAAAATCGTAAAGAAAAATAATGGTGCTTCTTCTTCACAGGCTCCAAAAATCTACAATACATCTGGATCTGATGCAAATGACCCAAATGCTTCTGTTTTTCTTGATACCAATCATTAGGGTGGGAGAAACCTCTAAAATAACATCATCCAGATGAATTCCATAATATCAATCAATAATAAGACACAATTAATAATAAGACGGTTTATTACCTTTATAGAGTTTGTGTTTATGAAAATATTGAAGTGTATTGTCTTCTAAAGTTTTGTTTATTCTTTTTCAATTTTTATCTTATTTTCCTAATGTATGAAATTTAATTATAGCACATACACACCTATAATATGTTTGGTTGGATGCAATGGATAATGTAATCAAAAGGCTAATTATATTTTTATGTTTGGCTATATAATTTTTAAAATTATAATATAATTGATAATTAAAACAGTAATGACTCATTACAATACAAGCATTACAAAAAAAAAAAAAAAAAAAGAATAATCATATAAGAATCTGATTGAAAAAGATTTTTTTTTCAAAATATGGACTAAATTGTATTTGTTTACAAAACATAAGGACTAAAAATTCTAAATAAGAACTAATTTGTAAATAAAAATAAAATGCAGGGAGAAATTAGTTTTTCAAAAATTACAAAGATTAAAATGAAATTTTGTGAAAATCTCCATTTCTTTACTAAAGTTCCTACAACCAAACAAACGAATATAATCAACCATCTAGGTCCACTAAATTGGTCATTAAATTACAATATAAATATGTGATTAAATAACATGCATTATCAAAGGGTTTATCCCGTATTTAGTCTTTGTATTCTTCAAATTTTATATTTTTTTTAACTTAATTAAAACTCTTTATTCTTAAAAAATTTATTGATTCAAATTTTTTGTTAATTATTAATTCGACGTAACATATTAAAATTAGCAATAATCAATCACGAATAGATATGTAGTATCATGGATTCTAACAAACATTAAATTAAAAAAAAAAGTAAAATCTTTTTTTAATAATAAAATAATAAATAAAATAAAAATGAAAATGCCAAAAACCCTCCAGCCCAATTATTCTTAATCCTTTTTATTTTTTAAAAAAGATTCACTCTCTCTCTCTCTCTCTCTCTCTCTCTCTCTCTCTCTCCCTCACTGTCACACTATTTCTCTCTTCTTCCTAGCCTTCTTGGATTTTTCGCAGCACTTGAGGAGGTTCCAGCCTTTAACATTTTGCATGAAATTAGAGATTCCACCCCTTTTGCCTAAAAGGCAAGAATCCTCTGTCAGAATACCAGGCACACCTTTATTTCGCAATCCCATTATTTGCCCTCCAGACAAAACCGTTCTCTCTTTCTTCTCTCTCTCTTACAAAAAAATCCTCAAAATCCCTCAAACAAAAGCCCTAATTTCATCCTTTCATGTCCCAAATTCAAGACCAAATTGGTCTAATCCGTCACCCCTTGCCTAGGCATTAATTACTTGATAAAGAAAAAAAGGGAAAAAAAGCGTGCATTTATATATTTTCATGTCGAAAATCGAAAGATTATCGATCAAACTAATTAGTTTGTCAAGTACAAAAAAGTACTTCGCTTGTCTCTTCATTTTTTTTAATCCATTCATATTCCAAGGTCTGAGTTGACAAACTAGCCTAAAAATCACGTTCCTTGTAAATAGTCTTTAAAAATTCCAATCAACTTAGTCAAACAATTGTTGATAATAAATTTGGGTTCATGCTAGGTGAAAATTTTTCCCTACCCTAATCAACTGGAGAAGGGAGGACATGGAAATGGATCTGCTCTGTATGGATAGAAAATTGAAATGAAAAACTTCAAGCTTGATAATTTCTATCACTCCTGGAGAGTTGGTTCTTGTAACTTTCACGAAAGGAGAGAAGTGGAGTGAGAAATAATGGGAGCTGCGGTGGGGAATTTAGCCTTTTATTTTATTTATTTATTTATTATTAAAATAAGTTTTTAATATATATATTTTTAAATTTTATTGCTTTTTAGGACCATAACACCACATGTCAATTTGTGGTTGATTATTAATAATTTTAATGTTTCACGTCAGATGAATAATTAACAGAGGGTTTTAATAAAGTTAAAAAAATAAAAGAACTCGATCAAAAAATTTTGAAGAATACGAGGACCAAATAAATAGGATAAACCCATTATCAAATACCAAACATGTCCCCAGCGTGTTTGTGTGTGTCGTTTCATAGGTGGATTTTAATGATTAATTAATCATTCCGTTATCCCTTCATTAGCAGTTGTGCTGTTTAAAATTCCTTCACTACTTCTTCTTCTTCTTCTTCTTCTTATTTATTTATTTATTTTATTATATGAATTTGCATAGCAAATTGTAAAATCTCATACATTATACCATATTCAAATTTGAAAAGTTAAGACACACAATTGTATAAAAAACTGTTTAAGATATACTATAATGTCTTTTTAGAGAATATAAACGTAATAATTATCATTTTAGTGTTAGATTGTGGTGTGCTCATAATTCACTAAAATATAAAATATCCCTAAAATTTTAAAAATTTTCCAAATTGATCTTTAAACTAAACATTTTCATGTTATCATCTTGTCTATGTATATATATTTTCCAAAAGTAATCCATTTGTAATTAGGTTTGGCTATTTTTCCTTTAAAATCAATTTGAAACCATATTTTTTTACTTTCTCAATTGACAGTATACTGGCATTATATTATAGATTCAGTCCATGAGTGATTTTACCATAATTCATGAAAATTAAATAGGAAAATAACTGTTGTAATACTTGAAGCAAAAAGTTTTTTTTTTTTTGTCGTTTTTCCTATTTAGCCATACATTCATATAAAAAGAAGAATTTGTTTTTTATGTACTCTTACCAAAAAAGAGTAACAAAAGAGGTAAGAAAAACTCTTGTTTTCTTTTAAAAATGACGTTATTTTATCATAAGAAAGTAATGATTTTTTGGTTTACAAAATACTTGAGATTTTTTCTACTATTGATTTTTGATACTACAATTATAAAAAATTACAATATTGAAAGTAGTGATCTAAACCAATATTGAATTTTGTAAAAATACAAAGAATTCATAAATTTTAAATTTTCGTAGTGAGACATATTTATTTAGAAAAATAGCTTGTATTATTGTCAATATTTTTTATTTCTCAAATTCGTGAAAAAAATTGATTAATTGTATTGCTTTCTTGATTATAGTAGATGATTTTGAAGTTATTCCTATAACTTTTCATTCTACAATAGAAAAAGTTTTTTTTACATAAATTTGATGTTTTTGTATTTATATTCTTGTAATTGATTTATTTTATATTCTTTTAATTGTTATATGTGCTTAATTTGATTATTTTCTCCTGAAATCTAATTTATATTTTCACTCTAATTTATTTATACTTTCCAATAGAATTCTTATGTCATCGTCCTATCTATTTTCTTCTTGGTTGTTAAACTTAGCTCAACATAAATAATTGCATTTATCGGTCGAGTTGATGTATCTATAGTGGTATCAGCATAGTAATAATAACGTGCAAACATTTTACATTTTGGTTTTAACTAGTGTAAAGTATTTTTTTTCCCCGGCCTAATTGGCCCGTCACTTCGTAACCCCCGTAAAAACCTTTATCCGTAATGCGACGTGTATTAGAATAATTCTATATATATGTATATTAAGAGTAAGTATAATTCTCATTTCATCATGAGAAATTAATGCTTATAATATGTGATTTATGTTAAATTAAAGTTATTGTGCTTAAGATTAATGGTTTAATTATTAAAGAAATCAAATATGCAAAATTAGTGTTTTAAGGATTATATTCTGCCTGAGTTTTGTGTGAATTATTTGAGACCTTTAGAGTAATTTTTGGGTCAACCTTAAAGAATGAAAGTTGTTCATCTATGTGTTTAATATGCCTGTATAAAATTTTATAATATTTGGACCTATACATTAAGAGTTATACCAATTATAGTGAGGGTTGTTTCGAAATGCATTCTGCTGGAATTTTGAGAGAAGAATCTGCCCGAATCTTGTGAGATTTATTTGATGCTGTTAGAATGATTTTTGAGAAAAACGTAAAGAATAAAAGTTGTTTTTCTATGTGTTTACTATCTCTATATAAAATTTCATAAATTTTGGATACATATAGAAAGAGTTATGCATATTTTAGTACAGATGGGTTAGGAGGAAACACTGCTGGAATTTTGGGGGAAAAGAAATTCTGAATTTTAAAAATGGAATTTCTGAATTATTGATGAAAGAAATTTGTCTAATTACATTAACCCAGCTTACTAATATTTTTTTTATTTATCCTAACTTTTCTTTAGCCACCTAAGCACTTGAATTAAATGCTTAGAAGCCAAATCATCACCTTTGACTTCCAAAACATGCCAGCTTTGCCTTCCAAGCTTCCTCCACTTTACATTTGGCCTAATTAAATTTTAACACTTATGATATAAATAAATGTGAGGATAAAAGGTGGGTATATAAGGGAAAGAGAGGGTTAAATGGCTGCCATTTTTAGGTCAAAAATCGTAGCCATCCACAATTCAAAAGAGAAGCCAAATTGAAGAGAGAAAAATAGCAAAAAGAGAGAAAGAAAGAAAAGAGAAAGAAAAGGGAAAAAGGAAAGAAAAAGAGCTAAAGAAATTCTAATCAAACTTAAAAGAGGTAAGTAGGTTTCATTTATTTTGGTTGATTAATGTCTTAAATTATTTTTTTTAAGTTATTTTGTTAGTGTTTATTTCATGGGTTGTAATAATTTTCAATAGTTATATGCTTGATGCTTAGAATAAATCTATGTATGGATGCCTTGTTGTGATGATTTATGATGTTTATGTTGCTTTGAAAATGTCCAAGTATGTGGTGATGGGTTGGATTGAACTTGGACCAAATTTAAGTGAACTAAAACATGTTTAAAGTTGGATTGGAATGAACTAATAAATTAGTGTTAATAAGGAGTCAATTCTGTCCGAATTATGGGGTGTATATTCAAGGATTTTAGATCGATTTCTAGGTGAAACTTAAAGCATAAAAGTTGTTCATCTATGTTTAAACTAACTCCCTTTAAAATTTCTTGGTCATTGGATTCGTGAACAAGGAGTTATACCCGATTTAGTATGGATAGCTCTAGATAAACCACTATTAGGCAGATTGCTCCCTAAGTTTCAAAAATTTGTAATTAATTGTGTACTTGGTATTTAGACCTACTTTTTGGATATGTTATAAATAAATATGTCTAGTATCTAAAATAAAATGAGTAAGATTTAATTATGTTCTGAAATTAGAAAATTATTTACTCAATTAGGAGTTGCCCGGTAATAAACCCTAAAACCAAAAAAGTTAGACTTTGACAAAATTAATAGATTTGGAATAAACTAAATGAGCTTGGACTAAATAAAATGGAATTAAATAGAGTCAATGGACCTAGGATAAAGTTAATGGGCTTGGATAAAATTAAATGGACTTGGACCTTCTTTTAAATATTAATGAACCTAATGAACAATATTAATGAGCGGAGATTGTGTTCCCGCTGTGAGTATCATGATTGGTATGTGAGCAATGGATAAATTTCGAGTGTGAGTTGGACCATGAGTATGGCATGAGAATGAAGGGTTGGTACCCGAATTTGGTTGAATGTGATTAAATATGTCATAACGTGCATCATGTGCATAGTGGGTGGTTTAAGACAAGTCAATTGATTGAGAAACGGTTTATACATCTAGGTTTGATAACCTAATTGGAATAAGTGGGTATTAGTAGTCCAATACTCTAGGTCGTGTGCCTGCACTATTAAACGATGGATTTCCGCTAATAGTGGTTACAACGAGGGATAATTTCGTTGTAGCGAGAAGATGATCCGAGGATCATCTGGATGAAATCAAGTTGTGTGCTTGCACCGTTAGACGATGGATTCCCGCTAACGGTAGTTACAACGAGGGATAATTCCGTTGTAGCAGAAGGTGATCTGCGGATCACCGGATGATAAATAGAGTAGATCGGCTAATACCTGTGGTACCCGAGATTAAAATTTATGAGTATGGTGGGAAGTCAAAACAACATTGCATATCACATGCATCACCCCGCTTACCGAGCTTCGGCTCACCATGTTGTTATTTTTTTTATGTCTTGACAAAAAAAGGACAAGTTGATACGGATGCGGTCGGCTTCTCTTAATTGGCTCATGTGAGGCACCATATATTAGTTTTTATTTTGTCTATAAATTTGGGGTATGGAGTTCGTAAGAAATTGAATATTGCCTATAATGTTTTATTAATGTATTTAATTATGTTATGTAAATTTTATCTTAAGGAGTTATATACGTAATGTACTCGTTAAAGTCCTAAGAATATCATAAGAAAATTACTTAGAGTTTAGGGTATGTCGGTGTAACGCGCTTCGTCCAGTACTCTACTTGGGTAGTAAAAATTCGATCGGGGCGGGGCGTTACAACTTCAAACGGTGGTTTCCTTTTGAACATTAAATGTTACTTTCTTTGTTACGAAAAGATTATTTTTTATTTATATATGTTCTATAAAGTTTTTAATATATATATATATTAAATACTCTTAGTTGATAAAAAAAAAGTTAAGTACCTCTTATATTTGCTATTAAATAAGTATTTTAAAAAGTATCATTAAAAAATAATGATATGACATTATAATTAATAAAATTTTTAAATTGTATATAAAAAAAAGACTATCACTTTGAAACATAGAGAATAAATAACTTTCTTAAGTTTCCTCTCACCTCTTAAAAAGTTTCATACGGTTAAAATGAGTTAATATGAGCTAACATTTTTTGTTGGATCTCCAAGGAATTCCAAGCCTAAAAATCTAAATTAATCGGTTATTGTTTGATCGGATGTATAAGACAAATACGATTACGCAATGAGTTTTTAATATATATAAAAACTCAAAATTAAAACTATTTAATTAAGCGATTAAAACTTCTTCCACTAAAGCTAATTTTCTTGTATTATGAGCCTACTTTTAACCTCAACTAGAAAATACTATTTTCATATTCTATATCATGTGGCATAATATAATTTAATAAGATCTTTTTAATAATAACTTTAACTGTTGCAATATTCTTGAGATTGGTAAATTCTTTTTAGTTATGATTTTCAATCGTTAAATATCTCAACTGATTTTAAGAGAAGGTGTAAAATGGAAAAGAAATGAAAACCTTGAAAAAGTATTGATATTGGTAAATAGACCCCCCTCAGAAAAAAAGTTCGGTACGTTCTTATCAGGTAAGGAAACTATAGAAGATACTTGGAGAGCAAATAAATGGAGAGTAGGCCCATCGAAATAGCATATAAAAGATAAATGGTAGCATCATCTTCAAAGGTACATACCCACATCACTCACACACACCCTTTTTTTGTCCTTATCTTCTTAAAGACTTTGTCGAACTAAAGTATCTAAGGGATCAATCGGCCTCTCACGTCTAATCTGACTCTGTGATTGCATAATAACTAAGTTCAGTTCAGAGGAGGTTCCTCCAAGGACATTACCACAACACTTCAAGAAGTATATTTGTATTTGAAAAATTATAGTTTAGGGCAGAAAGTGACTAAACCTCCCAAGTCCAAATTTCAGGGAAAGGTTTTGCAATTTATCCCCATTTTTTTTTCTCCGAGAACCATTCTTCAAGGATGTCCTACATGTGCTTGCTTTCAAGAGAAGCAGAAGGATATCCTACATACAAAACATGAACATTTCAACTACGTTATTCCACCATGTCTTCTAAGTTATAACGGTTGCCGGCCATCTTTCGAGAGAAGAAAATCCTGCAACCCTATTGATCAACTTTCGACAAGAAATTACCACCACTACTTGAGCAGGATAATTCGCTTAATGCAAACCATGCTTTAAGCACCGTAATTAAAACAAACACGCTTCTCCACTAACAATGGCTGTAATAAGTTCAGGAATGTGATTCTAGTTTTGTACAAACTGAATCATAACTTTGTCATAATAAGATACTTTTGAATTGGATTCCTATGCATTTCCAGCCATTAAAATGGACCCGACTAACCTTCATTCTTTAAATATCATGCGGCCTTTTTAGTTAGTGGGAAATGGTTGCAAGTCGAAGAGTAATGCATCAAAACCATAAAGGAGGAGAGAATTAATGCGACTTCGATTACCGAAAGGCCACGGACATTAGAACAGAAGAAGGTAATGCAGTGTACCATTTGTCCATTTTCTTATCCATTTTGCAATCTAAAAGTATGAGTCCACTGTGGGAATCGCATTTGGCATATTTGATTAAAATTGGCTCCACAAAATTCTTAAGTTTGTGCTCAAGCAAATTCAAACTTGTTTTCCCGTGCTGCAGCACTGCCCTGACTAAGCTGAAATTAATCGAGGCTCAAAATTAATGCCCAAGGATTCAGGTGCTTAAAGGAACATTTTAATCAAGCTGTAAGTAGCACATTTCACCTTCTGTTTCATGTTCGAAAAGAAGCCAGCCTAATTTCCGATCTACTTGAATGTTAGTATCTCCATTCTTGATTAATTAATGCTTTCCCAACAAATCCACATGTTATGCAACATAAAAGCTGTCGATTCCCTTTGCTTCAATTCTGAAAGGCTGATTTGGGTAGGTAAATTTGCTTCTCTAGCCCAAATAAGTGAGACTAGGGATTTTTAACTAGATCAACAAAGCACATTGGGAGAAAGATCGATACAACAAAAATACTTCGATTAACAGTTGAACAAGCAAGAAACATGAAGTAGAAGAAGCAAAGTGACCACATCTTCACCTGCTTATTACAAATATTGTTACAAGACTAAGAAGCTAACTGAAGTCTCAAGACTTAAGGGAGAAACACAATCCATCGTGACATTTACCGGAAGATTATCAGGATTTCATGACATGCTAATGAAGGCACACTGATATTGTCAACCATTGCGGATACCACCCATAAAAGTTCTTGGATCGGGGCAGTTCCCAGTGAATTGAGCCTGTGAGAAATCAAAACCAGGGTTCTGCATAGAGAAATATTCAGCAATTAGAACAAGTTGGAAAACAAAATTTCTTGTGGAAAATTCTTGAAAGAGTAAAAATCTTAAATATGGAGAAAGATCACTATCTGCAGAAATGCAAATTCATTAAGTAAGTTTAACAGAACAAAATTGATTCATAAACAAAATATTATTAACAAATAGAATAATGTCATTGACATAGTTAATAAGGACACAACAAGCTTATAGTCACAGCTCATACATAACATGAAAAATTTGTAATCTTGTCTCAGAAACACAGTTCACACAGGGAAGATGCAAAAAAACATGACATGAACATAATTACCAAAGTAATGAAAATCATAGCTATTCTAATCCATGGGTGGTCCATCAAATAAACATCATTGTAATAACAGGAATGAATCAAAACCAAAGGTGATAAGATAAAATGCTAATTTCAGATATCAAATTGTTTGTTCCCTAATGCATTTTGTTTTGATCAGTATCACCTACTCTCTACACTGGACATAGCCTACTACGCAAATACTTGAATTGGGCAAGACGATTCCCTATGCTTCCACTTTCCCCATGTCCAAACATGGTGAACATAGAAAGTAAAAGCAGTCACTTTGCATTTGCATGAAGTTAACATGAAAGCGAGTTAGCGATTTGCTCACAATTCGACCTAGCATATACTTGGCAAAAGTCCTTGTGAATCGCTATATATCCTGACCATGAGAGAAACCATCACACCACAATCTTAAAACTAGTTTCACATATAAAATTCTGCAGCTGCTTGAAAGACCAGCATTGAAGGTACACGCAAGTAAAAAAAGATTAATGAAAGAGTTTTTGCTATTAAGACACTTGGGCACAACTCACAAATACAGGATTTAATTTTGACATTAAAAAAAAAAAGAGTACAAACTTCTAAGGCAGAAAACAATGTTAGCAATCTGTTATCAATACACTTTATAAACAAGTCAAATGCATTAAAGATCAGGCAAACCAAATGAAATTCAAAAACTCAAACTTTAATGTCCATTATACTTAGACAAGTTGTGGTAATTCACCTCTTCCTGAAATCTCTGAAGCATAAGACGCTTTTGCTCAAGATCAGAGGAATAAGGATCAAGTTGACCCTCACCCAATATCGGCGAAGCCCATGTCTGACCCTTGTCCCTCTTTTGCAGTGTTATGTGCATTATATCATCCTCTTCCATTACCAAAAATAGCCCAATTTTACACACAACACAGAACATAAAAAGTTAAACCAACAGAAAACTCACATTTCCCAGCAAAATGGAATACAAATCCATGAATGACAATACCAAATTACCAAATAAGAGAACATGTAAAGTACCTAAAGTCCAGAAGGAAGAATCAGTTTTGACTGGGCTAGTGAGGTCATGCTGGAAAATCAATGAAAATATTATGCACATCAAACAAACAGTATTTCTTAAATAACAATTAAAAAGAGAAATTACATGGTATTAGAACAACAATGAAATTAAAAAAATGAAAGATGAAAAAGGAAAACTAACATTTAGATAAGGAGGGTTGCCTTTGATGCCAACTTCAATATGTTTGGACTGAATCTTGCAGTGGAACTGTTTAGAGTGAACATTTGGCGGTAAATTTATGTAAATATTTACCTCTTCGAGGGTTTGATCCCACTCAAATACGGTTTTACCTGAACAAACAAAAATCGCAGACGCACAAATATCAGAAATCAGAAAGAATATCATCAAGAGGAAATAGAATAAAAAAACGCAGAGAATGAGAGGTGGGGACCGTCGTGGACGAAGCTGTGGCGCTCCTCTGGAGCCAATTTCTCAGCCATTTCTTTTCTGGTTTTGTCTTGTCTTTTCACGTTTTCGCCGATTTTATTTAATTTCTATCTGAGAAAGAAAGAGAGCTGCGTATTTGGTAAAATCATAGTTCAGTAGAGAGAAATAGAGAGAGAGAGAAATCAAAGAAAGAGACTGACCTCAAGAATTTGAGCCAGGCGAGTTGATCTCCGGTAATTCTCTCCGGCTACGGGGACCTGTTACGCGGTTGGTACTTCGTGTTTTTTTTTTTGATGAATAATGATGGGCTTCGTGGACCTATACTGGTTTCCTCGAAGGATTCTGTTTTTAATTTTAAAAGTGGTGGATTGGGCTCTTTCTAATTCATTTATCCGCGTTAATTACCTTGTGGGCAATTTTCATCTTTTCCATATTTAGGATTTGCATCCTCTCAAGTTTTAAGAAAATAAAACATTATGTTCTAAATCTTACTTATTTTATAATTTAGATTAGGATTCCGAAAAAAATACAAAAAGATCAGGTAAAGAATTAGAATAATGACCTGATATCCATCCTCATTTATTTTACATCATGTTGTTACTAGCACATAAATAAAAACATAATTAAATAATAAAAATTTGCATAATAAATAAATAAATTCATTATAAATTAACATAGATAAAAAAAATTGAAACTTTTTTCCTTGATCATTAGAATTAGAAAAAATAGACATTAAAATCATGTTACAATGTTTTTTCATATACGGATAGTCGAAAAATGAAAATAGTTTTACCAAATTTTTTAAGTGACCAGTATGGAGACACAACCAAATTATTTGCACCGTCTAAAGAAATTTCTAATGCAACGGATCAAATTTGTATTGATCCCTGTCTCAAAAATACAACAAGTTCAATAATTTTCTTGTGACTTAACAAGTTTGCGAGTGCTTGTATGGCTCGAAACTCAAAATATAATAATATAACTCTTACTTAAGTAAATAACATATGTAATTATATATCCTTTTAAAGGGGACTAAAACGAAAAAGAAGCAATGAAGCTAATTTTTCTTTGATGCTACCATATTTCTTGTCAAACAACAAAGACTCGTATATATAGTTCTTAAGAGAAAATGATGTTATAAAGACGATAATTGTTATAAATAAAAATAGTAAAAAATAGCTAAAACAATGAATGGGATATTTTTTACCTTTTTTATTATTATAAAAAAATGATTAAATATTTTTTTAAAATAATTTATAAGGTTTTCAATACAAAATATTCCTAAAATCCCCTACATGTTTTTTTTATAACATATTAACTCTATGATTTGGGTAGGAAAACGAATATAATACATACATACATAATAGCAATGGTTTGAATACTTAGTATTTCAACAATATTGCTATCAAACCATTAGTAAACATTGTCTTGTACTAAGGCTTTTTAGTAAAATAAATATCGTATCGGACATGCTATATTTAGATACTTTGCAAGGAGTTTCAAAGGAAACAATTACTATCTTGTGCTTGATCCCAACTTCTATAAGTATTATAGAGAATCGGTATTATTCTCATAAGAAGAGTTTCCACTTATTCGCTTATATAGTTGTGTCTATTAATAACTTTAACATCTCACTAAAAAAGAACTATGGACCACATTAAAATTTTCTCTAAAGAAACTTAACTTTTTTATATATATTATTATGAGATTCATGCATTACACCATATGGATGAATATATAAGTATTATAACTCAAATAATTATATATATAATAAAATCACTCTATACTCATTCTTTTCCTTGAACTTAGTTTTTGAGATCCTCAATCCTTAAATAGTGTATCCGCGTAGGTGATTTTATTTTTTTATAGATTTAGTCTCATCTCTTTGATGTAGCATCTAATATTTTGACTTTAGTTAATGATTTCATCTCATAATGTTCAGCATATATACATAAGGGATGAGGTAAGAAAAACTTAATCAATTTGTCGGTGCAAAGATAGGTGGTAATAATTTTTCCTTATTGTTATTTTTGCTTTAAACAAAACATAACATCCACTTAATTTTTCATTGGCTTGGGCTTTTATCTAATCAAAGTTTCATTCACATATATGTGAGCCAACGGTAAATCTACTTTTATTTATTTTTTACACCATCATTACCATGAGAAAGCATGATGGCATTATTGTATTTTCCAATACAATAGAAAACGTTGAATATGATTTGATGAAATAAAAAGAGACATTTTTCAATCTCTAATTTCTCTTACAAATTTGACATTATTATCCCTCATTTACACAATAAGAAAGTCATATTTAGCTAGAGATTTAAATTTTTTAAGTTATCATTAATTGTCTTGTCAAACAATATCACTCGTACCTTAATTATATAACGGGGTTGTCTCTTATTCCATTTATCGGACAATGCCATTAAAACATTAGTATATCTTAATTGTACAATAGGAGTGTAACAACTTTCATCAATTTTTTCAATATATTTTTCAAATATTTCATAAGCATCATTATAACTTTTTGTATAATAGAAATGCTTTACAAATACCTCCAACACCATCACATTAAAAATGCATATGGCATCAAATTTAAACATTATAAAAGAATTTTGGTAATTTATCTTGAATTACATAATCCTTTTCTCAAACAAAATTTAATGCAATAACATCTTTTATGCTCCTATTATTCACATAATATATTTCATCACATCTCCACCTAACAAGATGCTTAGGCATCTAATGATACTGTGTTAGGTATCCTTCAAGTCTTCTTTTATGTAAGAGTACTATTTGATTCGAGGGCAATCCATTCTTTTGTGTCATCATATTCGCAAAGATATTCGAGTGTGAGTCCATGTATATTATAGCAGTTTCGATGGTATCAACACCAATGAGAGAATGCATGATAGTGGATTTAATGTTTAAAAGCTGTGATGTATTGGTGATGGGTAAGAATTTACTTGTAGCTTTGATTTTATTTGAGATGAATAATTTTGATATGATTCTAGGAATGGACTAGTTAGCGAATTATCATGCTTCGTTAGACTCGCTATAGTAAGGTGGTGTATCTTGAGGACTTAGGAGAAGATGAATTTTTTTTAGGGGGAGCGGAGTGTAGCACCCTCTAACTTAGTATCCGCCATTAAGGCAAATAAGATGATGAGAAATGAGTGTGTGGCCTATTTGGCATATGTGAAGGAGACTAATGATAATGTAGTTAGTTTGAATCAAGTCTCAATCGTTAAGGAGTTTCTCGATATATTTTCGGATGAGCTACTTGGTTTACCTCCAAATAAAGAAATACGAGTTTAGTATTGAATTGCTTTTCGGTATCAAACCTATTTCTATACCTCCCTATCGAATGACACTAGTTGAATTGAAGGCATTGGAGGTTCGACTTCGGGACTTGTTGGATAAGAGTTTTATTTGACCTAGTGTTTCTCTATGGGGTGCTCCAATCTTATTTGTTAGGAAAAAGGATGAAAGTTAATGGTTATGCATTGATTACCGTCGACTGAAGAAAGTGATGGTAAAAAATAAGTATCCATTACCAAGAATTGATGATTTGTTTGATCGGTTGTAAGGTGTAAGATATTTCTTTAAAATTGATTTGAGTTCGGATACTATCGGTTGAGGATTAAGAGGGAGGACATTCCTAAAACTACTTTTAGGATGTGGTATGTCCATTATGAATTTTTAATGATGTCGTCCGGCCTTACCAACGCTCTAACGACTTTTATGTACTTGATGAACAAGGTCTTTCATCATTTTATTGACACGTTTTGTGATAGTATTCATTGATGACATCTTGTTGTACTCTAATAATAAAAGAAACTATGGTAATCATCTAAGGCGAGTGGTGCAAATATTAAGGGATCGGAGGTTGTATGCTAAGTTTTTGAAGTGTGAATTCTAGTTAAAGAATGTGATATTTTTAAGACACATTATGTTTAAAGAAGGGATTATAATTGACCCAAAGAAAGTGTAGGCAATAAGTTATTGGCTAAGCCCTACTTTGATGATTGAAATTCGTAACTTTTTGGGTCTAGCTAGGTATTATCGAAGGTTTGTGTAAGACTTCTAAAAAATTATAGTATCGTTGACTAAGTGTTTAACCACGGTATCGGTCCTTACCTTACCCTCGGGAAGTGATGGATTTTTAGTGTTTTGTGATGCCTTGATAGTAAGGCTAGGATGTGTGTTGATACAGAGCATGGTAGCATAGTAGCTTATGTTTCGAGGTAGCTGAAAAAATATAAACATAACTACCCCGCACGTGACTTAAAATTAGCGAGTAGTGTTTTTTGTCTTAAAGATTTAGATGCATTATCTATATAGAGAGACTTGTGAGATCTACACGACCCATAAAAGTATGAAGTACATATTTGATCCGAAAGAACTAAATTTAAGGCAGTGGAGTTGGATGGAACTACTTAAGGATTATGATTATACTATCTAGTATCACCCGAGTAAAGCTAATATTGTGCCAATGCCTTGACTAGGAAGTCAGCAGGGAGCTTGTCTCACTTAGAGGAGGAGAAGTGGCCATTGGCAGTGGAAGTGAATAAATTATGAGATTTTGGAGTGGTGTTTAAAGTTAGTGAGTCAAGTAATCTTTTGGTCTATATTGAAGTTAGACCGGTTTTGATAGATCGAGATTCGAGAGGTTCAAGTGAATGATGAAGAGATACAAGATATTTTTACTAAGATGCAAAAAGAAAAAAGTCTAGGTTTTAAAGTTAATAATAAAGGTACTTTATAGTTTCATTAAAGGTTGTGTATGCCAAAGAATTTGGAGCTAAGAGAATAGATTTTGATAGACGCTCATAGTATAACCTATTCCGTATATCTTGGTTATATCAAGATATATAAACATCTTCGTGACGATCGTTATAGACTAGAATGAAGAAAGATATTATGGAGTTTGTTTCAAGATGTTTAACTTGTTAGTAAGTAAAATATGAACATCGGATGTCAACATGAGTGTTACGGGAGTTGTCATTATCGAAGTGGAATTAGAAGAGAGTAACAATGGTCTTTGTAAT